AAGTTCACGTTTCACGTCACGTGTTCGACACCCCGTTCGCCACTCAGGCGCAACGCGTGACACACTCATTGGTTCGATGCTAAAATTCATCGGTTCGATGCTAAAAAGGTGCGATTTTAGGGTGTGTAAGAAACAGATTACTGCACTCGTGCCTGTCGTTGTTACAAAGCGTATCTAACTCGCTTTCGCTCGTTAGATACGTTTTGAAACAACTCCTTGTAAGATCAATGGTATCTGACAGACACTCGTGTAGTAATCTCTATGTCATTGAACTTTTACAATACTACTGCGATATAATGATACCTGTCTTTTCTATCTCTTTCATAATATTGTAACCAGTGGCAATTTCCCAGATGGATTGTGCAAGTATTAGTATTATTACCCACACTTTCCGATGTGTGTCGGTCAATATCCCTACAGTTTTGGTGGTGGCACCTCTGAGCAAGTGTGTTTAAATGTCTTATACCCCACTTCATACGAGTGAATACAATGTACAATGTATGTTTGTTGCACAAATACATCGTTATGAAAATCACAAATTGCTTAAAGCGTCCATAAAAGTGTATTCAAGTGGTTAAAATTTAGAGCTATTACCAGCTTTAAAATTCTGCAAGCACGTGTGCAACGTGTCTGCCCTAAGGGCCGAAAAACAGATAGGTTATCCTCAGAGGATGAGTTTAAGTCCAACTCATTTTGTAACTGTGAAATGCTTGATCTTATATGTTCGAGAGATATGACCTCAACTCAACACCCAGTTGTCTCATGTTGGCCGTGTCAGAAAAGTTTATGTCGTCGTTCCGGAAGTGGGGTAAAAGGTTCTGTTAATGACTCGAGACTTCTCCAAAGCGTCGGAGTGTCCAGTGTCGGAGATGACTGCACACATCATCGCACTACCACCACCAAATCTGTCCTCTTCCTGTATGCAGTTATTTGCATAACGTTCCCTGTGACGCCTGTACACTCGACGGCGACGCATAAAACGTAACTCGTTACTAAACCAAACTTGTCTCCATCGCAGTTGTGGCCACTCTCTGTGACATTGACACCATTGACGTCGCTGCCGATGATGCAGGTCCGTCAAAATGAGACCTGAAACTGGTTGTCTAGCGCGAATACCTTCAGAGCGTAAACGCTTGCTCACTGTTTGGGCTGATATCTTACGCAATCCTGGTATTGCCATAGTTGTAGAGAGTTGGGCTGAAGATGATTCTCCTGTTCGCAGTCGGCCAATGGCGTTGTTACGTTTGTCTTCCATCAGTCGTGGCCCGTTTTCGCTGTTCACTTGAGGTAGGATTGTGATGCATGGCATACAAATGAAAACCCAACAATTTTATAGCACAAGAGTGAGTGAGTGCGTGAGTATGGTTTTACGCCGCTTCTAGCAATATTCCAGCAATATCACGGCGGGGGACACCAGAAATGGGCTTCACACATTGTACCCATGTCGGGAATCGAACCCGGGTCTTCGGCGTGACGAGCGAACGCTTTAACCACAAGGCTACCCGACCGCCCCTTATAGCACAAGAAGTGATGTTGCTCGTGCATGTCATGTTGGTGTTTTTCGGCGTCAGGGTCTCACGTGTTTGTGTTTGTTATGTGATTGTCCATCTTTTCACCAAATTTCTGCAGTGCCTCTCATTTTATCCAAAAATAATCAATCAGTTTATGCAGAAATGGCCAATTCATTTTTGGTATTAATTTTGTATGGATGTCTGCATCATTTTAATACGTTTGCGTTTCTCTTTTTGTATGTTATGTTTACAGGCCACCGTCACATGAGCATTGCTCTGCGTCGCCAGGCAATACATACTTACCTTTTATGTATTTTGTGTAAATGGCGGGTTCTACTGTTATAAGGTTATAAAGGCGTAACAAAATCGGAGTCCCAAATCAATAGAGAGATGAGCACTCTGGCACGAAGGCTTCTGTATTTATCCGATTACGACACACATGAGTTCATGGTCAGATCTAACGTTTAACGTATGAAAATGAGGTATAGTGACATGTGACAAAAACAGGCCAGGCCCGAACACTATAAAATGATACCTTCAACATTAGCAGAGGAGAGCGTGGTTTGCAATCGATCGAGTCGAATCCCGATCGTTCTAACTTTTCCCCAGTTAGTGACGGGTCTGGCCGGTCTGATCCTGTCCTGTATTGATAGATGGGCTGAGAGTAAGTAAAACTAGGTGAGTATAAAGCTGGAGTTGCGTTTCTTTATTATGCAGATATAAATGCTGATAGAGACAATTTGGAGTAAGCGTCGTTAGACCAATTACTCCTTGACGGAGCCAAGCCACTGCGGACAAGGCGAATTGCAAAGTCATGGCGTAATTGACCATGATCCCCAGGAACGGCAATACTTTCAGTAACTGTAGAAGGGTTGCACTTGACGCCCGAAAGCAGTTACGACACTACCGATAAGGCAGGACATGCTTCCCCTTTCCGCGAGCGCTTGGTGTTATCACTGATTTTTACTGGCCATTCACATATTTTTTACTGCTATTTCGGCCTTTACGCCAAATTGAATCTGTTTCGGCGGATAATCAAGACTAGTTAATCCTTTGCATTGTCATTTTATATTTTCTTGAACTAGGTGTTTCTACTGGTGGACTGAAGTCCCCAGATTTCATCATAAGCTCAGTAACCATTATCTGAGTAAACAAGAAAATACATGTTAGGGACGAGACATTTAGTTAACCTCGTACTGTTTGGCAAAACGAATATATTTCTCAAACGCATTTCTTTACGGATTGCGTTGACATTTCATATTTGAAGAAACTGAGTAACTAAAATGAGTAACATGAGGAGAATGGCTCTGGAGACAGGAGATTGACTTTTGAAATCCGATCATGTTTTTGCGTGCAGTGTCCTTGTTGATCACTGTTGGTAAAATCGCCATCAACAACTGTATGTTATATACCGTAGATATGTGTAAGGTGGGTTTGGCTGTTAATATATACTAACGGACAAATATATCCGTGCTTCATGTAAAGTTCAATATAAATGCATATATTTTGAAATTAAATAATGCATCCCCTCGACTTGTGTTTGTTTGAAGCATAATACTAACACATGTGTTTTTGTAATGTGAACTCCACGCAATGACTGTACATCCGCTTGCACTTCGTTACGTTATGACAGGACAGGTACCTATGTCAACACTAACTACTCTATAAAAATCTGACACAAACCAATTGGTCTATCAACAGGAATATGCCTCATTAAGGTCAAAATATGACTCTCGTCGCACTATTTTTACCGATTGTTCCAAGGATGGTGGCAAAGTATCAAGTGCCATCGCATTGGATCTAACACTGTGTCTTCGAGAATCCGAGGTAATAGTTCTATTTTTACAGCTGAGGTCAATTATATTCTTATAGAATTGGACTACATTCAAAACCAACCATCTTAACAGTTCATCATCTGTTCTGATTCCTTGTAGATCCGGGTTAGAATAGGTCTTTAGCAACCCATGCTTGCCGAAAAAGGCTCGCTGACTTGGTTGATGCATGTCATCGATCCCAATTGGTCCAATTGTCTGGTCCAGACTCGATAAATTTACAGACCGCCGCCATATAGCTGGACTATTGCTGAGTGCGGCGTTGAACAACAAACCAACCAATCTGATTCCTTGTCATGAATTCAGACAATACATAATTGTTCTTCAAATCATCCGTTGATACTTGATATTTTTGAATTGAATAATGTTCCCGCCACTGCCCAATACGGCATCGTCTATTGTTGGTCATGTTGGAATCACTGGTGACACTATGGCTGCTACTGGTGCAAAGGCGGCACTCAACAAATCAGTAACACCACTTCTTTCACCATACAGTGATTACAAGCGAATAATTAGATGCTACATCAACGATCTAAGTGGAACACCCAAGTAGGTATAAACAAACTTCATAGTATAAAACCAACCCTAGGTTATACCTACTAGGATTGCCATTCGAGACATGACGAAGTTGTTTTTCGACGAGGTCGTATTGGCCACAGTCACTATACCCACTATTATTCCTTGAAAAGTGAGGATCCTCCGTTTTGTGTCCCTTGTGATGAGAGAATCACAGTGAAGCATGTTTTGCTTGACTGTGTTGATTTTCCTCTCACAAGGGATAACTATTATCATTCGGCAAATAGAAGTATTTGATCATTTTTTGATTGTTTTAGAATAATGGGATATTAATGTCAACAGAGATTAATGAAGGCGGTGCCACTTAGGGGGTTAAAGTACTACTACCCTACTTAGTAGGGCAAAATTATTGTCCCCCTGACAATGATACGTGAGTCCATCTACATTGAAGTATTGCATATCAACTAGTGTTTTAATTCCTTGATTGTGCTTTGATTTTTAAATATTGGTTAACATTGCGTACAACCGTGGGACAAGGTGATGGCATAAATCCAGCTGGGAATCATGCAGGGAGCAAAAGCACGGTACGTTCCCATGATCCCCAGTTAGGAGTTCTAGCATTGTTGCCAGTGGTCTATAGCCTGTTTTTTCTTTCTATTAACTAATTGACTGAAAAGTTTTTTGTTTTAATATTACTCAGGTTTGTGTTATACCTAAACTATGATATCTACCTTACTGTTTTACTGTCCTTTGTCGACAGGAATTTTATAATTATAAACTTGTTCTCATCTCGATGTGGCTGCAACATTGCCGATGCGATATAAAATTATAACTCACTCACTCTGACGTCAAATATATTAATGCTCACATTCCAGGAAAACTTGCAATATTTAGGTAAAATATTTGTGAGAGTTGGGAAGAGATTTTTCGAGCAAAGAATTGAAGAATGTCTGTATATGACAGAGGTTATCATTCGAGTCTGTTTGGGAATGGTTAATATCATGTATTATGAATAAATATTGCATTGAGGAAGTCTTGACGAGATAAAAAGATGGTGTTAATTCTCTTCCCATATTTATTCAAGAAAAAAACGACTTGTGGTCGTTGTTTATCGTACAGTCAAACACTACTGGGAGAGAGAATAAACGATGAGGGACGCATGGCAAATTTCATTTTGCAATGTTCATTACTATTTCAAACCAAAATGGTGAGCTTGAAGCGTGATTATTAAACTCAAGGTTGCTTGTTTGTGTATTCAGAAATGTGTATTCCGCTTCTCAAACTCTATACCTCGGGCAGCAGGGTAGGCAACATGATTTCATTGTTATACATGTACAACCAGGTAACGCCATATGAAATTCTAATACAAGTAACTGTTGGTCGTCTTTGGGACAAAAATGAATCATTAACAGAAATTATGTAAACGCTTTTTTCAGAAAGCAAGGAAACATATGTATATTCACTATTTATACCGCTAGGTGATGCTTTGTCAAGTGATAGAAACACGCAAGCCAATAGTTGATATCGTATGGTGGTGGTGCTGAGTACTCTTCTTGTGTTCTCCGTTCTAAGTTTTCTTTTGAACTTGGAAATTCCGAGTAATGCCAGTATTCTGACATTTGAGGAATTTCAAATGTCTCTTTGACAGATGTAGTATTTTTCCAATGTCCGCGGCCTGTCATTCCACAGGAATTCTTTGTGGTCTCGCTTGGCGAAAATGTAATGTCTGTCCGAGCCATTATGCGGTGCTCCTGGACCCGAGGCAAAGTAGGTCATAGGTCGGCCATCATGGAATACCCATTGTCCCTCATTTGCCGCATCTCAACCATCGAAATAGTAGCTACTGGCCACAGTTGCTGAAAGTTTCAAACAGGCACTTTGAGTATTGAAAAGTGTGAAGCAATAATTACAATATATGAATTTGAGTGAAATTGGCAAAAGCATCGATGATAAAACAATAGCGCGACCCCTCTTGATAACCAACATTATGAAACTAATGATCAAAATATCGTTCGTCGTTTTGCGTCTGTTGAACATTATATGTTTAACTAAATGATGTGTAGAATAATACATTCCTTAGGTCCACATACGCACCTATTTTTGTTTTGTTTTCAATATAAATGTCCTGACTTTTCTTTAAATTGGAATATACAATTGTGTAGAAAGCACAAGAGAACTCACTTCTAACAACATTGCAAAACTAGGTCATGGACTCAACAGTTGTTCATTTTATGGAACAAGCTTCTGGAAACCTTGTCCCATTCAAGTTTTGTCACAATTGTCTTGTTCATATGGCCCATGACGTTTATGACAAGACTGATTTGTATTATAAGAAAAAGGCAGAGTTGTTGCCTCTCGAAATATAATTTGTATATATATTTTTTCAAACCCCATCTATCGAATGAGGGTGATCAATAGATGACGTTCTGTTCAAACTTCATAAAGTTTGTGTATCGTGGAGGTCACGTCACACTCAATAATAAATACATTTCCCATCATTATAGCAAAACGAGAATAACATCTGTATCTATACAACCATAAAAACACATTAAAATGTTGGACCCACGACACCAACTAAGCAGCTTGTGTTAACTACAAGGGAATTGGACCCGTGAAAATCCGGGGTAGAATAGGTCTTCAGCAACCCATGCTTGCCGTAAAAGGCGACTGTACATGGTGGATCGATGCTCATGATATGAATCACTGGATTGTCTGGTCCAGACTATTATTCACAGACCGCCGTCACATAGATGGAATATTGCCGAGTGCGGCGTTAAATAACAAACCAAAAAACAATTGTGTGGATCGATGTTCATGATGTCAATCACTAGATTGTCTGGTCAAGACTCGATTATTTACAGACAGCCGTCATTTAGCTGGAATATTTCTGAGTGCGGCATTAAACAACAAGCAAGCAAACAAACAAACAAGGGAAATGATTCTGGGACATTCAAAGTGTACTTTTACCATCCCCGTCAGGTCTAGTACGGTGTTCTTGCATTAATTCAGTCACTTTGGCAGTATGAATATGATTTTTACAGTGGTTAATAGATATGAAGGCATCTATTCGAACCTGATGACGAGGTGATCTGTTTCACCACGTGGTTCTGCTTGTCCGCACTGTCAATAGCAACAAAGTGTTCTCCTCTTGACATACAGTCAGCAAGACCATCGTCGTACGGGAGATTGTCGGGATAAAGCTTGTAGCAGAAGTTGAGGATTCGGTTGTGGATGTAGCCAGATGGACAAGCGCCTGAGACAGAAAAGAATACTTGTCATGTATATGTAAAGAAAATGAACGAGAGGACAGATACATACAACCATGCACACTTTTTGTGAGTGAGTCAGTTAAGATTTAACGTCACATCGGCAGTATTTCAGCCATATCGTGACGAGAAGTACATTCATGATACACATATTTAGACTAAGTAAAACGCTGTCAACGATGGACAGTACAATAACTAGAATATCACAGATTCGATTTAAAACTAGTTGAGAATAAATAAAAGTCATAAGTATTAGTGAACAACACAATATAAAAATCGGCAAGATATCGTCAGTAACTAAAGGGAGATCATCATTCTTCGGACCATGGGGGCGTACAGTGCCTTTGAGTATGGACCCTGGCAGGATTTATATCATCCCTTCAGTCACTGGCGATATTTTTTCAGTTAAGCCTTACAAGTAAACTGGGCGGCAAAAGAAAGTATAGGTCGAGTTCCATGATCGATAAAAAAATAACAAGAAGAGGTCTTGTTGTGAATTATAATATAATCGAGGGAGGGGTAATACATGATTGATCAACCACAGTTTGAATGAAATTGTGCAATCACAGGTAATGTAAGCTCAAGGGAAACAATGGTGGGGTAAGACATTTCATTTCAAAAGTTGTCTGAAATGTCACCAAAACATTGTCAGACACACTACAAGTTCATTGTCGACACAGTTGCCTTCAATAGCGTGTATGACCTCCAGCTGCCTCAATGCATGCTGTGATACGCCGCCTCATCGATGACGTCAGTCTTCTGATGATGTGGACTGGAATCCACTCGTCTCTCAGGTCCTGCTGCAATTCTTATCTGTTGACGGGAGGCTGATGGCGTGCTCTAATCTCTCTGTCAAGATGGTCCTACAGATGTTCAATAGGATTCATATCGGGTGAGTGGGCAGGCCAGGGCAAAACGTCAACGTTCTGCTGGTTTAGAAAGTTCCGAGTCAGTCTTGCAGTATGGTACCTGGCATTGTCGTGTTGAAACAATGTCCACTGCTGTTGGTTTTGTAAGAACGGAAGCACAACTGGCTGCAACACTTGGTCTCTGTACTGCACAGCGTTCAGGTTTCCCTGTATTATCACCAAATCAGTCTTCTGATCTCCACAAATACCGCCCCACACCATGACACCTCCCCAGCCGAATGGATGGACCTCTCAAACACGAAATGGGGTAGTGTTTAGACACATAACAAGGGGAAGTTTCCAACAATGACTTCTGTATCTAAAACGATGGTTTAAACACATATCTACATCCCGGTACAGGTACCTACTCTGCCTTGGATTTATCAGTTACAGATTCTGATGTATTAAACGAATTTGAATGGTCAGTCCATTAAGACCCCTATGGCAGTGATCATTTTCCAACCATAAACCTGTCTTACCTTCAGATGTTCCTCCTTCAACAAGATGGAACTTTATTAAGGCCAACTAGCCTTTATTTAAATTACTTGCATCCAATAAATTAAAACCTGATCTGTTTCTTGACGCTTCTGACCCTGTACAATTAGTTTCTAATGAATTGAACAACATCGCTGATGACTGTATTCCTAAGTCCTCTACAAATCGATACATCCGTAAACCATGGTTTAACAATGACTGCAAACAAGCTAGGAAGGCACGGAAAAAGGCTGAGCACTATCTCTGTAGCCATCCCATGGTCTATAATTTTAAAATCTTAATGCTAAAGCCAGGCGTACGTTTAAACAAAATAAACGCCAATCTTGGCAACATTATGTTTCCAAACTTAATTCACGAACGCCTGTGTCCAAGGTATGGAACATGATACATACAATTAAAGGTTAGGGTTCAAAATCTAGCATCCACCATCTTAAGAATGGGGATGAACTATAACCTAATAAATCAGATATTGCAAATAAACTAGGTGAAACGTTAGCAAAACATTCTTCTTCCTCAATTATGTCACTTTATTCCAAAAAAAGCAAGAAAAGAAAACTATTAATTTTAAATCAGATAATGGGGAAGATTATAGTGAAATATCTTCGACCCATGAGCTTCATACTGCTCTTGGACAAGCACATGCTACTGCTACAGGAACTGATGATATACACTATCAACTCCTGAAGCACTTACCAGAACCGTGTTTAGAAACCCTTTTGTTAAGTTTTGATGATATATGGAGATCAGGTAAGTTTCCTTCTTCTTGGCGTAATGCCATACTTGTACCCATACCGAAACCTGGACGGGATCATAGTGATCCCTCAAATTATAGACCCATTTCATTGACCAGTTGCATTTGCAAAACCATGGAACGCATGGTCAACAATAGATTAACATGGTAATTGTAATCAAATAATTTAATTACAAATATTCAGTGTGGCTTTCGAAAGAATCGAAGTACCGTTGACCATTTAGTTCAGTTAGAATCATTTGTGAAAAATGCAATAATTCATAACCAGCATACAGTGTCTATCCGTGAAGATTTCGGGGTAGAATATAGGTCTTCAGCCACCCATGCTTGCCGTAAAAGGTGACTATGCTTGTCGTAATAGGCGACTTACGGGGTAGGGGGGTCAGGCTCGCTGACTTGGTTGACGCATGTCATCGATCCCAATTGCGTGGATCGATGCTCATGATATGAATCACTGGATTGTCTGGTCCAGACTCGATAATTTACAGACCGCCGTCATATAGCTGGAATATTGCTGAGTGCGGCGTTAAACAACAATCCAACCAACTACAGTGTCTGTCTTTTTCGATTTAGAATAGCGTATGACACAACATGGAAACACGGGATTTTAAAGGATTTACATGATTTTGGATTGAGAGGCTGTTGGCATCAATTTATATCCAAGTTTTTAACTGACAGACAATTTCAGGTCCGCGTGGGTTCTACCCTGTCTGATCATTATCATCAGGATCAAGGCAGTGATTTGTCTGTCACTTTATTTAGTATAAAAATAAATAGTCTTTTAAAGATTTTAAGTGATTCAGTAGATGGATCACTTTTTGTGAATGATTTTAATTTTTCTTGTCGTGGAAAAAATATGCATACAATAGAGAGGCAGTTACAAATCTGTCTCAATACAATTCATAAATGGTCACTTGAAAACGAATTTAAATTTTCCATATCAAAAACAAACTGTCTACGTACATTTCTGCAGAAAATATAAGCCACATAAGGACCCTGAACTATTTTCATATGGCAATCCCTATGAAAGTTGTGAAAGAGGCCAAGTATAACTCGTAAATTTGAGAATTGTTTAGTGTTCTTGACACAACTGTGGAATTAGAAACTGGCAGAGTTTGTTTTTGACTAGCTTTGTACAAACTTCTTGCAATCAGGGTAGGATACTTTTCTTTTCCACGAAGTGGAAGGGGGATATAGGAATGGGTGCCGTCCGTCACATTTCGTTTCCGGAGCAGATCTTGAAAACCGTACCATATTTCTTTAGCAAACTTGGCACATAGATAGGTCTCGTGGTGAACTGGTGCCTTTTGATAGTTTGTGGGTTTTTTTAAATAATATTTTTCGAGTTTTCATTGCAACGACTTTGGCTTAAACTGAAAATAGCGGTAGTCCTCGTTTCTAGAGCAGATCTTGAAAACCGTACAATATTTCTTCACCAAACTTGGCACATAGATAGGTCTAGTGGTGAACTGGTGCCTTTTGATAATTTGGGATTTTTAAAGAAATATTTTTCGAGTTTCCATGGGAACGACTTTGACTTAGACTGAATATGGCGGTAGTCCTCGTTTCCAGAGCAGATCTTGAAAACCGTACTTATTCCTTCACCAAACTTGGCACATAATGTCATCTCGCAGTTTTAAATACATTTCCTTTCTTGTTGGTAAGTTCTGCATTGCTTGTGTGTACATGTATGTTCCTCCAAATGTGTCATGGACACGGTTGTTGCATTCACTGACTAACTTCATGCAGAAACACAACTCATTACAAATACAACAGTGTAACTGATCTTAAACCTACTCAACTGTATAAACACTGCCTCCAATCCTGTATATATTCTTGTCAACCATACTCTGTACTTCACTTGCTTGATAACCTACACCGAACCTACACCGAAACCATCGCTCCTAATTGTAAAAAAGAAGTTGTTCGTCCATATGTCTCATCCTTACTCATTACAAATACAGTTACATATTCTATCATAAACTGCAGATGGCAAAACAATACCAGTAATAACTTATTTTAATGCTGCAATTAGGCCATTTACATAAAGGCCCAGTGAACATAGTTCACAGGAGCTAATGCATTGCACACAACCGGACATGTCATATTGGCGGGGGATGTGAGTATTTCATGCTTGTTTTTAATTACTTTGTGTTCTGTTTGAAAAACAGGACACTTCTGAGGAGGACAGTTTACATACATGTACTTTGGTTTGCGAGTGCAGTCATAGCTGTCATCAGTTTGTCTTTGTACATGATTGAGAGCCATGTAAAAAAAACTGTGGCATGTGTAACAACTGAGAGAATTCGGAAAAAAATATTTCCACTCCGATGTTAATTTCCTGTTATTGCTTTTGGAGGAATGTGAACATTTGAGAAATTTTAAAGTCAACAAGGTAAGTAATTTGACCAATAACCCCAAAATGTAAGTAACACATCAAATTGTGAAAATGAAATATAATGCACAGCGCTTGGCATGACCAGCTGATTGATCGAACCGAGTCCATTCTACCACCTGTCAAGGTGAAGTCAGGGTCAAAGTGGTGTATTGGTCAAAGGAACGCTATTCCTGGAACCAGTGACCTCAACCACCAGACTCCCGTCCTCTACCGACACAGGGGCGCAACACACGGCAAACAAGTTGCCAAATTCGGTTGCTTCTAAATAACAGCAATGGGGTGCTGGAGACACATACTACCCCGGGTCCCCAAGGGGCGGTAAAAAGAAAATAAAGACAGTGAGTTTATGCTATGTTAATATTATTTACTATCTGCCAATTAAACGCAGTGGTGTAAGTCTGAACAATTTAGAATCATAATCAGGGCGCATTTGGGAATCAAATCCACATTAACAGGATTCCGGCCCGCTGAAGGGACGCAACTTGCATTATGCATTGCGGCGCTCAAGTCAACTGGGCCCTGTGAAAAATCATCATTCCAGGTTGGAACCTCTAATGTCCTGTAATATGTGAGGTAGGAACATGCCTTGTGCAAGGTCAATAATTCTTGTCCCAGTTTATTCATGATGATACCAGAGCACCAGGTGCTGAGATCGTATCCCGCTAGTGACCGGGTTGTTAATCATCCTTTGGACCAACAGGTTTACAGGTTTTACAGTGTTGCCACTCCCCCTAGTGTTCAGTTCATTCACCCTGTGCACTCATAAGAACCCACTCGTCCGATGGACCTATGAAGATCCGAGGTAGAATATAGGTCTACCCATGCTTGCCGTAAAAGGTGACTATGCTTGTCGTAAAAGGCGACTAACGGGATCGGGTGGTCAGGCTCGCTGACGTGGTTGATGCATGTCATCGATCCCAATTGCGTGGATCGATGCTAATGATATAAATCACTGAATTGTCTGGTCCAGACTCGATTTTTTACAGACCGCCGTCATATAGCTGGAATATTGCTGAGTGCGGAGTTAAACAACCAACCAACCAGCCAGCCAACCAACCGAGGTAGAATATGTCTTCAGCAGCCTATGCTTATTGTAAGAGGCGACTAAGGGGATCGGGTGGGCAGGTTCGCTGACTTGGTTGATGCATGTCATCGTATCCCAATTGCGTGGATCGATGCTCATGATGTCAATAACTGGATTGTCTGGTCCAGACTCGATTATTTACAGACAGCCGTCATATATAGCTGGAATATTGCTGCGTGCGGCGTTAAACAACAAACAAACAGCCATCCGATGGTAGATGAACAGATGGTGGAAACACGAATTCTTACAATCACCCGACAAACAAGTGTCAAAACTTGAGTTGTCACCCTGGGGAAGTAATTTAGTTCAAATGTGCCTCTGTTCAACCAGCAGGGAATGGGTACCTGATATGTCAGGTGGATGTAAAAAAACTCGAGCGTAGTGTGGTCATACCACGATGGCAGACATAACACAAGGCGTTTAATATGATGATAGTAATGATATCAAGTGCTCAGAGATGATTACATCAGCTTTTCGACCCGTGAAGATCCGGGGTAGAATAGGTCTTTAGCAACCCAGGCTTGCCGTAACGGGCTCCTAAGGGGATCGGGTGGTCAGGCTCGCTGACTTGGTTGATGCATGTCATCGATCCCAATTGCGTGGATTGATGCTCATGATGTGTATCACTGGATTGTCTGGTACAGACTCGATTATTTACAGACCGCCGTCATATAGCTGGAACATTGCTGAGTGCGGCGTTAAACAACAAACAAACAAGCAAAAGATAATAAAGCATTCGAATAGACATTGATGACTGGTAACAAACGAATCTTTACGCAATAATCGACATACTTTCTTAGCATTCTATGAATAATGATGTCAAACCTCACCTGTTGTTAAGCTGTAGTACTCGGTGCCTGTCTCTTCTTCTCCATCCTCAGGCGACATGAACAACACGTCATGGAACTGACACCGTCGGTGTTGACGTCTATGAAATACGGACACACAAGCTTCGTTCTGGAGACACAGAAGTACACACCATTTACCACTGTGAATATCTGAAACTTCAAATATGACGCTTGTTGACATGAGCACGTTATCAAAATCGTTCCATTTATATCAAAGTCCCATCTTTAACAACGCAGTGGCATAGCTCACTAAAAAAATGAAAATTAGTTTCCGAAACATTGCGTCCGTCTTAGCTGGTCGCTCGACAAGGTGTGGTGATTGAATAGAGGTGCTGAATTATATTGAGTGACTGTTCTGGTAATGACGAAATGTCAACATGTGACCGCATCAATTGTTGATCTGTTGCCATGGGTCCGTCTTCAGTGAAGTCACGTGACAATCATGATTATAAATGATCGGATTCGGTCGCAGCTTAGCTTGTTATCCCTGTATATGCAAATAAACGAATGCAGGTATCGTGTAGGGCTATATATTGAAACTAAATCACGGCTGCGATACATGTGGTTGCAGGAATAGCAACCCTGTCCTGTTTGTGCTTAAGTGACTGCCATAATGCTTCTGACATGCCCTAGTAGGTCACACAGACACTATAATCGCAGCATTTGAGTAGATTGATCATGATGTATCTGCTAGCGGAATACATACACACGACACAATTTTACTGAGTCATAAGGTTAGAATCTTAAGAGATTAAGATAATTTGCTTCGTATTTAATTGCTACCTTCAGCAAAATGGCATCCCCAAAATGAAATAAATGCACGTTAGGGGCGTGGATTAACAGATCTACTGATTGACGAATTATTGTTTCAGAATACCATTCGTGTTTACATCATACGTGTCTTCTCCCAAACTGGGGGTGATGTAATTAAACCTGACGTGCCTATCAATGTCAAGTTTCTGACAAGCTAGAAAAACAAAATCAAGTCAGATAACATGTATAATAAAGTTGGAGCCTGTTGTATCTAACTCAAAGGAGCCAAATAATAAGTTCAGTTATCTGGGATTCAACGAAACCATATGATTGGCATTTGTGAAACAAATTGGTATCGAAACAACCAAGAGTTCGACTTATCCGTGTTCAGCAGGATGTTTAACTATGTCCTTACAGTCTTCACCAAACCATGCTTGCCGTAAGAGGCGACTAACGGGATCGGGTAGTCAGGCTCGCTGACTTGGTTGATGCATGTTATCGTATCCCAATTGCGTGGACCGATGCTCATGATGTCAATCACTGGGTTGTCTGGTCCAGACACGATTATTTACAGACCGCCGTCTTATAGCTGTAATATTGCTGAGTGCGGCGTTAAATAACAAATAAACAGAAAATTGAAGAGCCGACGAAGCAGCTTAAGCAGCTTTTGCCAACCAACATGTCTGAAAGATCTGCTTCGTGGTTGGTTTGGTTGGTTTGTTGTTTAACGCCGCCCTAAGCAATATCCAGCTATTTGACGGCGGTCTGTAAATAATCGAGTCTTGACCAGACAATCCAGTGATTAATATCATGAGCATCGATCCACGCAATTGGGATCGATAACATGCATCAACCAAGTCAGCGAGCCTGACCACCCGATCCCGTTAGTCGCATTTTACGACAAGCATAGTCGCCTTTTACGGCAAGCATGGGTTGCTGAAGACCTTTTCTACCCCGGACTCTTCACGGGTCCTACATTTCAGCAAGGTATTTGTTTTTGAATGTATGAAATTACATGCCTTCATTGTAGTTCACGTTGTCTGTATACGTTTTACTCTTAACCATATAGTTTGTGTTATATTGCATCTGTGATATTTGCCTTGTTGTTTTAATCAGCATGCTCTTCATGAATGTATATTTTGCTATCGTGGCTGTATGGCCTGCCGACATTTTTTTATCACTCGCTCCACGAAGACCTTCACGACGCTCGACGGAAACACAGGTCACGACAAAAGCTCACTTGTCTTACAGTGTGATGCCAAATGGGACATCCCATTAAACGATCGTAGCACTACGACCATCCTTTGGTGGCTCGGGCGCTGGGTCCACGTGGCTGTTATCAGGTTTCGTATTTCCGCATCTCATTAAGGGTGATAAACAGATTTGTTAAGGGATGTTGACAATCGTTTTACTTGTGCAGGCTATTATAAGGACGTGTTTGCATTGAGAGGACAAACAGGTACTCCGATGTTGAACTATATTAATCTATCAGACTTGCAAAGAATCAAGAGCTAAGTAACCAGTTCTTGCCTCGGTCAGCCCAGATGACAAACAACCCTTTGTTCTGCATCTCCAGCAGCCAACCACATTACAAAGACGATCCTCTACAGTACTGAGTCAACTCGAAAATCAATCAGTTTGAAAGGAATATGTAGTACAAGTATGCTCAGTGTGAATATAGCAGCGTTGGAAATAAAAGTTTTCTTTGCGTTTGTTATTCATGCACTTGTGATCTGGTGTAGTTATTATCGATTAGACACACTTTTGAAACGCAGTCATATATAGAGATGCAACCTTTTGAACACTTATTTAAGATGCTAGCATCAATATATGTACGTTTCGGCTTGGACTTTTTCTAAATCTCAGAATAAGCGGGAATCCATGCTGGCCGTAAGAAGTGGATGGAGAGATCAAATTTGACCGATTGAATGTCATCATGTCGGTGTCGTTGCTTCTTTTTCGTCATTGGTGTTCCTGGTCGAAATGGGGCGGTCGGGTAGCCTAGTGGTTAAAGCGTTCCCTCGTCACGCCGAAGACCCGGGTTCGATTCCCCACATGGGTACAATGTATAAAGCACATTTCTGGTGTCCCACGCCGTGATATTGCTGGAATATTGCTAAAAGCCACGTAAAACAATACTCAATTGCTCACTCTTTCGGTGATAAGTTTTTTCAAACGTAAGTGTCACAAGACTCACGAAACATACTGAATATAAACTCGGCAATTATTGGAACACTCGACTTTTTAACTATGATCTCAGGCAATTAATTCACTCTGCAATGCGTTGTCCTTTAGTTATACAAGGACCCATTGATGTGGGTTCGATCCCAGATTAAACCAGATTGTGACTATTGATCTGGCGGCGCCATACCAATGGTGTCAGATTTTGTCAAGATGATAAAATGTTAAACGTCCCCCACTTCACGCCCTGGTGTACCAGAAAAATTCTCGCAACAAAAATAGTACTCTAAAGACAATCAATACGGCTTCAGATAGTGAAGGAAATTTATTAATCATTCTAGAAAAGAAAAGACAAACTTATCATCCATACAGTGGAACCCTGCTTATCCGGACTTATTTGAATCGCCTATTACTGTATATTCGGACTGACATTATCCCCATGCCTCCATACTTTACGACCACAACATCAAGACCAAACGCCAGACCAATGTACATATTAGTAATGAACCCTATTTGGTCGATTCAATTTCTATACCTTGTACTTTGACAATGATCACTGGTGATCAGCGGGTGTTATTCTCAAAGAGACAGCAAGTTATGTTTTCAAATTATAGCATTTGCAAATATTGTTCGATTGAAAAAATATGACAACAAATCCAGTAAATCAAATAATGATGCAATTCCAGTATTTAGGATTGTATTTAATACCAGGACATTATGAGCTTTTTTCCTGAAAATGGCCATCTTTACTCAACACAGTCGCTGGGGCAGTTAGCGTCCTGACTAAAGCATGGCATCTCCCAGGGGCTACCAAACACACAGAAAATATATTTGTTGCATTTGCGTCCAGGGTGGGGCATACTCCTGACCCCGGTTGGGGCACAGATCTTGACACAGCGGCTCTCATCAGTCTTGTAGTATTCCCGGCTCGGACACTGTGCCTTGGCCATCTGTCCGTCGTTATTACAGCGGTAGAAGGCTGTGTATTCTCCCTTGTAGGCGTAAGTCACAGAACGATCGTCACAGATGCCTGTATTGGAAATATAGTTTTTAATCATAGCAGTAGTGTCGTTCCGGAATAGTGCTATGTGTTGCTTGTAATATTTTTACAATGTCTTTAACATCGTTTTGTGTATGGACTTATACACTATGACATGTCAACCAGGATGGAGTTATTACACTCTTGTCCTGTATATATCTACCCCAAAATTCACACCATTGTCCCGTATGTTTCTATCCCAAAATCCCCACCCTTGTCCCGTATATTTCTATTCCCAGATCCCCACCCTTGTCCCGTATATTTCTATTCCCAGATCCCCAGCCTTGTCCCGTATATTTCTACCCCAAGATCCCCACCCTTGTCCCGTATATTTCTATTCCCAGATCCCAACCCTTGTCCCGTATATTTCTATTCCCAGATCCCCACCCTTGTCCCGTATGTTTCTATCTCCACATCCCCACCCTTGTCCCGTATATTTCTATCCCCACATCCCCAGCCTTGTCCCGTATATTTCCATCCCCAGATCCCCACCCTTGTCCCGTATATTTCTATCCCAGGAGACCCAGCCTTGTCCCGTATATTTCTATCCCTAGATCCCCACCCTTGTCCCGTATATTTCTAACTCCAGATACCAAACATTGTCCCGTATATTTCTATCCCAAGATCCCCACCCTTGTCCCGTATATTTCTGTCCCAAGCCTTGTCCCGTATATTTCTATCCCAAGATCCCCAGCCTTGTCCCGTATATTTCTTTCCCCAGATCCCCAACCTTGTCCCGTATATTTCTACCCCAAGATCCCCACCCTTGTCCCGTATATTTCTACCCCAAGATCCCCACCCTTGTCCCGTATATTTCTATCCCAAGATCCCCACTCTTGTCCCGTAAATTTCTACCCCCAGATCCCCAGCCTTGTCCCGTATATTTCTATCCCAAAATCCCCACCCTTGTCCCGCATATTTCTATCCCAAGATCCCCAGCCTTGTCCCGTATATTTCTATCTCAAGATCCCCACCCTTGTCCCGTAAATTTCTATTCCACTGAGCATATGGCAAACCATTGATTGCGGATATTAGCCCTCTAACATTTGATCTCTCTGATTCGTTGTCCATAATTGTTCGGTTACTTATACTACTCAAAACAATGTAAGGTTAAAAAAATATTTCGATATGAGTTTTGGCATACAGTTTGAGTGCGCAGTCTAATATTTTTCGTGTTATTTGAACATGATAGCACAATGATTGGAAACACTCAGGAACATCAAACATCTCTGCAACGTTACATTTTTGGAATGGTATTGCAATAGTGTTTTACCAATAATGGTACAATAGTTAAACTGTCCAAATAATGCATTTTGCAGCCCATTCATATGGCTTCTGGTGTCAGAATAGGGTCCCACCTTACAAATGTTGAGTGTGTGCTCTGGAGATTTGACTTGTGGTAGACCTCAGACATTGTTTGCCTCGTCCCGATTCCACTCTTTAAATGTCACCGCAATATAGCTGAATATTGCTGACTGCGGCGTAAAACAACAATCGCTCACTCACCCTGACACTGTGTAACCTGGCAGGAGGCCTGGGTGTATTCCTTGCTTGGGCCCTCGCACTCGCTGCCGTCGAATTGCGGGACAGGGTTAGTGCAGGTTCGATCGTGGGTCATCCTTGCTGTGCCGATGTGTCCAGTCACAGTGTATTTGCCGTCAACTCTCCAGTCGGACCAGTCGGACCACCCACCATCCACTGATAGATCGGACAGAATAAGGTTAGAATGTTAATATACTAACACAAGTGCAAGTACCTGATCACATACATTCAATTAGTACCCGTGAAGATCCGGGATAGAATAGGTCTTCAGCAACCCATGCTTGCCGTAAAAAGCGACTATGCTTGTCGTAGCGAACGGATTTGGTGGTCAGGCTCGCGTCCTTGGTGGATGCATGTCATCGTATCCTAATTGCGAAGATCGATGCTCAGGATGTCAATCACTGGATTGTCTGGTCCAGACTTGATTATTTACCGACATCCGTCATATAGCTGGAATATTGCTGAGTGCGGCGTTAAAAACAAACAAACAAAACATTCAATTAGTAACTTAAAACTAATAGTGATATCGACGGCGATATCCTTTCCTGTATACGAGGGCTTCAACGGGTCCCAATTGTTCGACTCGTGTACGAATTTGACTCATGACCGATAATAGGAACCTTTTGATAACGTAAATATCTTTGTAAATAAGAGTTCATCGTGTGGGCGTTTGAAGCTTTCTTTCTCTGGCGAATAAAACCAAATTATATATACCTTAACTTATATACAACGTAAATAAACCAACGTGTGTTAGATTTCCATAATCGTAACTTTCTTGGACATGTTGACCTGTACAAGTCGTACAAGGCAATGACACTGTAGCGTAAATTGTTTGACGAAATTAATGAGACGTCTTTCTGTCATCATATACAACATGTGTATTGAAAATGACGTGAATGAGAGTGTCATCCCCTTAGCAAGTACTCTAGTCGACTGTAACGGTATCTGAAACCCACCCGGTCCCAAGTACCCGATTCCGCGTTGGCTCCCTACTGTATAGACAGCAATTCACTTGTCAAGATGAACCTGGCTACATGTAGCTCGATGTAATTTTAATGTGAATTAAGGTTAAAAAGAATATCAGCATTAACGTTAATACAGACATTATACTTTGACTTTCCCAAACGGCACCATAGCAATCCAAAACAGTTGGAAGCAATCCACATCTTGGAAAATACTCGGGTGAGACTCGAAGTCATTCGAGTCTTCAAAAGTTTCGAATAAGCGGTCTATCCACGATTGTAAAGATATTTTTTTCTTATCTTCCAATAATATTTTAAGCTTTCATAAGTGTCAAAAACGACGCCACAAAAGGTTAAAGAATGGTGTTTCATACTTAATCACGATAAGCTCGTCGATTTTCATAAGGAGCACTCGGCTTAATAACTATGATCAAATTTAATGTTTGTTTTACCCGCCTCCATGGGATATGGGTGCTGTTCCTGTAACCTGATACCGAATACCCAAAGTTAATTAGAATTGGAATACGTTTGACCTTTTCAATACTTTCGTACTACTTTAAGTTTGAAATACATAGCACTAGAAGAAGTATTTCGTGAACCAGTGGCTTTTTAATGTTACGATAATGAGGAAACGCAACGACAAGTATATTTTATTTGTTATTTTACGCCATAATTAGCGATATTTTAACTAAATTCCCGCAGCCCGTAAATAACCCCTCCACGTCAGCCAAGCCAGTCACTGACAGAATTATCAATCGGCATACGATAACAGTCAATCATGATTGTCACCAAGCCGATTTATATACATTAGTCGCATCAAGCAATAGCGTTTATTCTAACTATTCTAGCCTAACCTATTCTATCCAGGGTCTGTACGGGGGAATCAGGACGCATGACATCCTACCTGGGCACTTTTGGGTGTTGCACTCGGCCTCTCTTGTGTTCACATCATCGCCGTCACATTCCTCCCCGCCATGAGCAGGTGCAGGGGTGTCACATCGTCGATGTTGACTCTCGATGATGTTGCCACCGCCGCACGAAGCTGAGCATTGGCCGTCTTGGGACCAGTCCGACCATTCACTCCATCCTCCATTCACTAAAAGTATACACGTGTTTATGCTACTACTGCAGTTGCTGCACTATTACATTGCATCTGGTATCTGTGGACTAGAGCAATAATTGGCTTTGGCTGTAGTCAGCCAAAGGATCTGTCTGTATTACCATCGCCCAAATACCGTGTAAAGTAACAATACCAGCTCGGGCAATTTAGCTCATTGATAAATTAACGCCTTCGGCGATTATACATTTGCAAACTGTTATAAAGTTAAAGAACCAGGAAAAGAAGTAGTTTTTTGGCAGACAGTACATTAATATAGAACTCCATTTGAGTTTGGCACGCCAGAAACCTATGATTGTGGGTTCGTAACCCGGTTCGCCCCGATTGTGTTTCTAGGTTTGTCAGCACCATACCCGTGCTCGTGGGTTTCACCGAACTGGTAAGCGTCTAAGACCTGCATCACCTCGGGTTTCCTCCAACATTAAGCTGACACGCCGCGATATAACGGGAATACTGTTAAAAGCGGCGTTAAACCCAACTCAATCACTCACTACGTGGTCTAGTGTATAGAGTGTCCGCCAGGAGAGCGGAAGGTCGGGGACTCGACCCCCGGACGCGTCTTATCAAAAGACGTCAACAGACGGTACTTGCTGTTACCCTGCCTGGCGCTCGGCAATATGGGGCCAAAGAAGGAGTAGTCAGCTTGGAGTCCGTATATTGTGTATGAGTATCTCAAACTACGGCATGGTATCTCAGTGGGACTAATCCGGACTTGTACAAGCAGTCACACTAAACACACAGACACACACACACACACACACACACACACACACACACACACACACACACACACACACACACACACACACACACATACAAACGCATACTACGTTTGTGAGTGCAACAGTCTTGAACACGACATTAAACCCCATTTCTTCTCACAACCTCACCGCCTCAAGTTGTATATGGACGAGATGGTACATACTACTGCATTTATTGAAGAACTAATGTACCTTTAACTCATATTAGTACTCATCATAGGAATACAGGAATAATAGTGGTAGTACTATTATCACAATTTGTTTTTTAAATATTGTTCACTAAAATGCACGACACGCACATCAATTCAATTTGGAATATTTGTATAACCACATTAATGATGTAAAGTAATGTAAAGTAATGTAAAGTAATGCACGTAAATGTATGTCATACGACTCCTGCTCAGAAGTTGTTTGATCACAGTTACAACACACAGGCCTTATCAAATTTTTTAAAAGTGTGTAAACACGTGGAGGACATATTCCCTATTTTGACTTGTACCAATTGTTCCCTTGTTGGCGTTGGTGTTTACTTGCCTTTGCATGTGTTTGTGACGGGTGCCCACGTTGTGACAGTATACGTTCACTGTTTCGCGAACAGCTGGTATCATCACTATTTGATACTGATTTATTAACAACGCTCAATATTAAAGTCGCAATCGTACAATGGACTCTGTTTTAGAAGAGATTTCTAATGCTTATGGAAACGTTTTTTCCCCGCTTTGATGTATATGTAAACTATTCCCAAACTTAGTTCAGAATTGTAAATCTTGTCAATTTGTGTAGTAACATATGGCTATTGGTTGACCGATCTGACCTGGGCATGGGTTGTTGTTGCATACGCCTGGCCTGCTTTCAGTCGCGGAACCCTCGCAGTCTTCACCCCCGTGAGCAGGAGCCGGGGCATCACATGACCTTGACCTTGACTCCATGATCGGACTTCCGCCACAAGTCACAGGGCACTCATCGTCGTGAGTCCAGTCAGAATACTCAGACCAGCCGCCATGAACTGAAACAATTCACCTTATGCATTAGTATTGCAACGCAGGTGCATTATAATTCAATGAGGGTCTTTGGAAAAGGGGTTACTTTTACACAAGGTAACTATGACACTCAGCCTTATCCATGGGATGCCACGAGAGGATATGAATATGGACATTTGTGACTTCCAATAAGGGGTGACAACTCGTGACCAGATGATGACACAAGAAGGTCGCGGTTGTGACCATCCTTGTGTCATACCAGTAAAATTCTTTTTGAATTTTATTTAAGGGATTTAGTGGGAATTAATAAAACAGAAGGAAGAGAATTTATGGATGTCAACTTCTTCATTATGAGGAACACACTGTTTCGGAGTATATACTTACTCCTTCATCAGGTGAATGATGAAGGATAACGTATATACTCCGAAACGTTGTGTTCCTCGTAATAAAGAAGTTGACATCCATAAATACTCTTCCTTATGTGTATCACTTCTAAATTATACCTTTCAAATATTATATAAACACATATTGTTTATCCGCATCTTTGACACACGTAACAAAACAGCCACTTAACAGTTAATTAACTAACGCATAATTTCGAACGCAAAGCCATGCAATGATTTATTATTCCATATTGGCTGTGATACGACATATATGGTTACCTGGGCACTCGTGTGTATTGCAGGGAACCACGCTGGTCTGGGTGCTGTTCCCCTCACACTGCCGACCCCCATGTTCCGGAGTGGGGGTGTTACAGTCCCTGTTCCGCTTCTGCTGCAAGTCACCACCCCCGCAAGGTACAGAACACTCTCCCTCGTCGGCAAACTCCGTCCAGTCAGACCATCCACCGTGGACTGCGACACAAATACCACAAACATTTACAGGCTGTGTGCGTTCAAAAGCACATTGATATTCTGTGGTATTTTATATAGCGAGCTTTTACTCTCTTTTTTTACTCAGCTTTTGCTGATTTACTGAGCAACAATGACATTTCTGAGATGAATTAAGCTATATTTAGTACTTGGACACGCGTGGGTGTTGCAGTCAACAGTCTGTTCTTCTTCCGGTTCGCCGTCGCAGTCAGCTCCATCGTATTGGGGGGCAGGGTTGGTGCAGGTTCGGTCGTGGGTCTGGACCTTGGTTCCTCCGCCACACAAGACTGTACAGTCTCCGGCATCTGTCCAGCTTGACCATGGTGTCCACCCTCCGTCAACTTGATGAATACAAAATGTACCATTCCATAAGTGGTGACACGTGGTCCTGTGTGTAGGGTTCAGGTCACAAATCAGCGAAATTAGGCAGCGCTAGGGGAACAGCGAGGGAGTATTGTTTTACGCTGCTTTTAGCAATATTCCAGCAATATCATGGCCCACCAGAAATGGGCTTCACGCACTGTACGTATGTGGGGAATCGAACTCGGGTCTTCAGCGTGACGAGTTGACACTTTAACTACAAGGCTACCCCAGAGGGGAAAGAGTAGTTTGGGGAAGACCGCGATTGGCAACATTGATTCCTGAATTTGGTCATGCACCACTCTGTAACTCGGTTACATTTGGTGTCTTCCCAGGTAAATGGCGTTGGTCAATACTTTCCTCTATTCACCCAGCAGCCATTGGGTTGGTACCACGCTCAGTCACATGTTTATGTGAATGTAAATATTCTAGCGTCTTACAGACAGGGTGGGCCGTATACCGTCACAGGAGTTGAGAAATAAATTCGAATTCACACTGATCCTTTCCTCGGTGTAATAATATCATGTCTGTAATGTTGAATTTATAACCATATAAGCCAGAATATAGCGGCAGTATTTCTAAGTGTGGTCAAAAACAACATCCACCCACAATTGACACACGAAGTGCGAAATTAGCTTCCGCTAGAAGAGCCCGTTATATCTTGGCTCAGATGCCGAATTGGAATAATACCATCTCGTGCTGTGTTAGGGTTATGACGTCGCCGGAACGTACCTGGGCAGTTGTGGGTGTTGCAAGCGACGCTCTGTGCACGTGTGCTGTCACCGCTGCACTCCGCTCCTCCGTGTTCCGGGGCGGGGTTGTTGCACGTTCGCTCCTGAGTTTGGCGCTGCATTCCTCCCCCACATGTTGCACTACACATGCCTTCGTCAACCCAGTTGGACCAAACCGTCCACCCACCGTCAACTAGATAACGGAAATATTGCCGCATGATAACATAGGAAGATGACAACAGCAACTTTTGTGTTTCAATGACTGACATGCAATTTCAATGTTTATTTGGTTCGACACTGAAAGAAGAATCGCCTCGTGGACAATAGGTGTCCCAAGTGGATCGTTGACCATTCTATCAAGCACTGGTGCCCTTGGCTCAGATTCTACTATGAACCGGCAGGAATATAGCTGTAATTTGGCTGATTTCGGTGTAAAACAAGATCTATCTATCAATGGTCCGACCAGTGCGAAATCATTTTTTCTCGAAGCGCCCATAACATCTAAAATCAGATGCCAAATTTGAATAAGAAAATGGAATAAGACCATCTCGAGCTGAGTGAGGGTTATGACGTCGCCGGAACGTACCTGGGCAGTTGTGGGTGTTGCAAGCGACGCTCTGTGCACGTGTGCTGTCACCGCTGCACTCCGCTCCTCCGTGTTCCGGGGCGGGGTTGGTGCACATTCGCTCCTGAGTTTGGCGCTGCATTCCTCCCCCACATGTTGCACTACACATGCCTTCGTCAACCCAGTTGGACCAAACCGTCCACCCACCGTCAACTAGAAAACGGAAATATTGCCGCATGATACCATAGCAAAATGGCAACAGTAACTTTTTGTGTTTCAAAGACTGAGATGCAATGTCAATGTTTATTTGGTTCGACACTTAAAGAAGAATCGCCTCGTGGACTCGTTTTTTTCTCATAAGTTGTCCATTCGTTATGTTGAAATTTAAAAAAATACTAAATAATACAATTTTCTTCTTTTTTTTTGTAGGTGAAAGAAACCATGGAAAGAGTCAAGGAACTTGCGTCCGTGTCAACCTCATCCCTGCCGGCACTATTCCGAGAAGATGTTGAAATATAACAAACGAGTAAATGCTTCTTTGGTGTAGAATTGTGTTTGTTGTCTTATTTAAAGTTCTTCCATAAGAGATGATCAGCTATCTTCTCCATATGATTGCCAATGATTATGTTGTTTCACAGCCGAGCATGAAGTGGGAGGTTGTTTAATTAACGCAAATTTCAATTGGTTGGGTCCTTCGTTACCATAATCCGTATGTAATTGCATTGTTAGTCAGTTTCACGTGAGGCCGACTTACCAAATCTACCCTTTTACCAAATGTCTGCCTCGAGTGTATAAACCCAATAGGTGTCCCAAGTGGATCGTTGACCATTCTATCAAGCACTAGTGCCCTTGGCTCAGATTCTACTATGAACCGGCAGGAATATAGCTGTAATTTGGCTGATTTCGGTGTAAAACAAAATCTATCTATTAACGACCCGACAAGTGCGAAATCATTTTTGCTCGAAGCGCCAATAAAATCTAAAATCAGATGCCGAATTGGAATATGACCATCTCAAGCTGTGTGAGGGTTATGACGTCGCCGGAACGTACCTGGGCAGTTGTGGGTGTTGCAAGCGACGCTCTGTGCACGTGTGCTGTCACCGCTGCACTCCGCTCCTCCGTGTTCCGGGGCGGGGTTGGTGCACATTCGCTCCTGAGTTTGGCGCTGCATACCTCCCCCACATGTTGCACTGCACATGCCTTCGTCAACCCAGTTGGACCAAACCGTCCACCCACCGTCAACTATAAACCGAAATATTGTTGCTATTGTCTCGCGTCAGTGTTGCAATGGGTGCATGCAATATCGATTATATATCCACGTGCAAATATAACCATATAATTTAATCGATCATATAATTATATCGATAACTAATACTTGTCAAGCTTTATGTCGGTTTGATTAATATAATTTAAGGAAAACTGAAAGCCCCACCCACTTTTTCTTTTACCTCGACCTCATCCAAATTGTCTTTGCTTCCAACCTCTTTCGCGGATTTAAGATCCAGGCATTTTACCATAACTTTTGAAATAACACATATATTAAGTCTTTAAAAAACATAAGGAAGAAGATTTATGGATGTCAACTTCTTTATTATGAGGACCACAACGTTTCTGAGTAGATACTTTCTCCTTCATCACGTGATTCACCTGAGAAAGGAGTAAGTCACGAGTTCATCACTTAATTCGTTCTCATGCAATACTGGATGCTAATCAACTTGCCCATCCTCATCTGTTGTGTAAACATCAATCTATCATAATTTCACCCTGCATAAACATCAACTATCCTCAAGTATATAACGCTCCTACTTCACATCACTTGCTTGATAACGTTGTTGGTATCTACCCCGAAACGTTGTAATAAAGAAGTTGTACATCCATAGAACTATCTTCCATGTTCATTATACCTACTTCTAAATGTCACTTAAAGAAATAATCGAGTCCATTCGTTCATACTATAGGAACTATATATCTTTAGTTGAATGTCAATCAGTAGTTTTATTTCGGTAATAAGGCTGTATAACGGCTCTCTGTAAATAATCGAGTAATAACCCAGTGATTGGCATCATGATCATCGATCCACGCAATTGGGATACGATGACATGCATCAATCAAGTCAGCGAGCCTGACCACCCAACCCTGATTACGACAAGCATGGGTTGCTGAAGACTACTCCGGATCTTCACGTATCGCTGTAAACTAACGAATTAAAGGCTGATCTTTTTCAAGCAAGAGATATTTGATGCAAAACTGGGTGTTGTGTAATTAGCTTCCTGTACTCGGTAAAGGAGCTGGCTGAGCTGGTTATTTTGTATTTTATTGCTGCTCTAAGCACGAACTGTGCACACACGTACAGGTAAGAGCCGTTGAATGCTTCGTTATTTTTTTAAACGTAACGTTACTACAGGTGAGGTGAGGTGAAATTGGGTTTAACGTCGCGTCCAAGATTATTGCACTTATATAGCGACGTACATGCACGTGTGTGTGTGTGTGTGTGTGTGTGCTTGTACTAGTCCGGACTGATGCCGATTTATAGTGTTAGCTCACTGAGATACCATGCCGCAGTATAACATGAATACCCTACTCAGACACAGTATACTGACTCCGAGCCGACAAGTCCTTGTTTTAGCCCCTTAATACCGAGCGCCAGACAGGGTTACAACAAGTACCATCTTTTAACGTCTTTTGGTATGACGCGGCCGGGGATCGAACCCCGGACCTTCCGCTCCCCGGGCGGACGCTCTACCACTAGACCACGGAGGCGGTCAACGTTACTATAGAAGTCTAGGGGAAAACATTTGGTTGTGTGTAACCTCTAGGTGTATACGTACTAGGACAAGGTGTTCTGTTACAGGACGTAGAGCGGAGCTGGTATGTCGCTCCACTGCACTCGGTTCCTCCGTTGGCAGGACTTGGGTTCGTGCAGGTGCGAGTACTCCTCTGTGCTACTGTCCCGTCAGTGCCGCATGTGCTGGAACATGATCCCTGGTTCGACCAACTGGACCAGGAGCTCCAGCCGCCATTTACTATGAATGTAAAGGGTTAACGACTATAAAGCATTCCCCCCTCGTTAGGCAGGCTAAAACAATCCGCGTCAGGTATAGCTCCTTTGAGAACCTACGGAGATAACTATTAAACATGATATTAAAGATATTGAGTTTACAGAAATTATAAGGTTGGGGTTGAGGTGAGGCTTCAGATGCAAAACCATGTATTATATTTATTCATAACTATAAGCCTGATTTTTTTTTTTAAAAAGGAAAACGCCTTCAGCAATGTAATTTTTGCTGCAGGCAATGTCCTTGTTTTTCAAAGGTCTGAACCATAAGCATTCTTTTCACAAACATTTTCAAGGCCAATTTATCCCCGACTACCCAAAGGCCTTTTTCTTGAAAGCAGACTTAACATTGGTCATAAGGAAGGGTCGACAAATTGTATACAATCGTGATATTCATGTTATAGATTTTCTGCCGTGATATTGCTGGAATATTGCTAAAAGCGGCGTAAAACCACACTCACTCACTAAAGCTTAACTCATAGATATATGTGTATCTAATACACATGAAGCAATACGTACTAAACCGGTTATTTAGACTTTTCACTTATTGATTTTACAATGCCCATAAATATTAAACATTTGTCAATGTATCATGTGTAGTTGTCCTTGTCATACCCGTGTTTGTAACCCGTTAAGATCTTGGTTTGACTAGGCCTTCAGCAAACCATGCTTGCCGTAAGGGGAGATTATGTTTATCGTAAGAGGCGACTAACGGGTCAAGCTTGCTGTATCATCATATCCCAATTGTATGGATCGGTGCTCATGAAGTCAATTACTGGATTGTCTGGTCCAGACTCGATTATTTTCCGACCGCCATTATAACACTGGTCATTTGCTGAGTGCGGCCTTAAACAACAACTAAAACAACCTTACCTGGACAAGCCTTCGTGTTGCACGGTATAGTTCGTGTCTGGGTTGCCGAGCCAGTACAGTTGTTGCCATGTATAGGGGTTGGAACGGGGTTGGTGCAGGTGCGTGTTCTTCGTTGATTTTGGACCCCTCCCCCACAGGTGCGAGAACAACCCCAGGTATTAGTCCAGCTTGAGTAAGCTGACCATCCGCCGTGATCTGTAATTTACCCACGAGTAACTAAACAGGACAAATACAAATCGTATGGCATAAATCTAAACAAAGGATTTATTTCCGGAGCAGAAAAGGCCCCAAATATCCATAAATGCGTATGTCAAGAGATGGCTAAAGGAGGAGCTGGTGTTACCGCTGAGTGAGCTATCGTACCCCTACGGCGCGGATCGTCCCTCATGCTATCAATCACTGGTTTGCCTGGGCCTCATCAGCCATAATCTTGCAGTCTGTTGCGTAAAATAACACACACCAATACTATTGTTATTATTGGCAATACTTACTACATGTAGATGTGTAATACTGTATTCTGAAAGAAACAAGACCAACGTTATACATAAGCTCCTCAAAATTCGACAGAGATACTGATGGATTACACTTTACATATGCGAGTAATCAATTTGTGTGGGCAACGGAATTGGAACATCGTTATAAACAGTGGAGTCGTATAAATGGGTTGATATGTGTGGTAGATAAAGATACAAAATGTATAAGAAAGCCAGTCCATCCGTATTCAAATCACATAATAAGATTCACCTAATTTAAAAATACTACCACAATGAATAATCTTTATTCTGTCTATTGATGTGAGCGCGCTGTAGAAATGTTATCTTTGAATCCATAAGTGAGTGTGAGTGAGTGAGTTGGGTTTAACGCCGCTTTTAACAGTATTCCAGTTATATCACGGCGTGTCAGCTTAATGTGGGAGGAAATCCCGAAGTGATGCAGGTCTCAGACGTTTACCACATCGGTGAAACCCACGAGCACGGGTATGGTGCTGACAAAACCTAGAAACATAATCGGGGCGAACCGGGATTCGAACCCACAATCATAGGTTTCTGGCGTAGCCAAGGGACGCAACTCTGCATAGCGAATCGCGGCGCCTTAGACGAGTGGGCCACGCGTGCCCCCAGAATCCATAAGTGTTAACGCAGAGGTTCGGTGAGACACTCACCGGTATCTTGAGCATCGTTGCCAGCCATTCCAGCCACAATCGGTTGTATAGCTTGTTCTCCGTGAGTACCTGTAACTGCAGCTGGAATACAAAGTCACAAACACAGCGTAATGAAAATGTGCAACGACATTATTAAGCATGCATTTAAAGCAAAACAACCCTAAATCACTTGTTTGTTTATGATACAGTCGGAATCGCACAATGGACACTGCTTTCAGCAGAGATGTCTGATGGCTCTAGAAAGTTTTTTTTGTCGCTTTTAATATAAAATATAATATAGCTACACGATAAATCGCAAAGAACAATGAAGAAAAAAGCGTGGTTCATTTCACGATAAAACATTGTTCTATCATGATGTCATTTCTGGACATTCAAACAGGCGTTCGCAACTTGACGTCGTAAATTGGACGACGTTACTTTTGAAAGGGGAGTGTCAAGTGAGTTGTTTCCCATAGATGTAGCTTGACAGCACAGATGAATGCAATGGCCAAATGATCGAACCCAAAAGTGGTAGAGATAGGACGATCGGTATTGGGAGAAAAAGGTGCTGACAACCGACATGAAAGTTGTGAGAATACCCATCTTAACTCCACTGTACATAAAATCGAGTTTTCCGACATTGCCGAGGTCGGATTGTATTCAGGGAGACATCATTATTTTGAATACGGGTAAATGTTTTTAAAGCTTGTACAACATATTGACATCCTTAAGAAGGCTGTACAAAATGTTGATATCTCAAAAAAGAAATAAACGGCTCGTGGTCGTTATATTTCGTACAATAAAACACTGCAGGTAGAGTAAACCATGAGGGGCGCATCTTAATGCGGTGCCAGCGACTGCAGTTACAAGGACCAGCGTGGAATTACAGTTGTAGAGTTGGACAAATGACAAAAGGCACATGCTCACAGCTGTAAAAGTGTTTAAAAGCTTCCAACATGATTTCAGTTCTGTTACGTCTGTTTGTTTGTTATTTAACGCCGCACGCAGCAATATTCCAGCTATATGACGGTGGTCTGTAAATAATCGAGTCTGGACCAGACAATCCAGTGACTGACATCATGAGCATCGATCCCCGCAATTGGGATACGATGACATGCTTCAATTAAGTCAGCGAGCTTGACCACCCGATCCCGTTGGTTGCCTTTCACAGCAAGCATGGGTTGCTGAAGACCTATCCCCCGGATCTTCACTGATAAGTTCTGTCATGGCCTGACCTATCAACTTAATGCAGGTATTAACTGTTTATCGCTTTTGTGAACCTCACAAACAGAAATGGTGCTGACCAACCAATGACCACAATTGTGTCAAATCCGGGATTCAGATACACGATAATGTATGCTATCGCGTGCACGGGACGCAACTCAGCAACAGAGTCCTGCGTAGCCTAAGACGACTGAATCACCTGTTTTCTCTTGTATACTAAAGAGCAGATACAGAAAACTGTTCGTGAAGCCCAACATCCCACTGCTGGGATAACAGATAAAGGTCGCATAGTTGTGAGGAATGCATAGCACATCAACAGATGAAGGGCTATCAATGTTGATTGGTTGGTTTGTTGTTTTACGCCACATTCAGCAATATTCCAGCTATATGACGGCGGTCTGTATATAATCGAGTATGGACCAGACAATCCAGTGATTGATATCATGAGCATCGATCCACGCACTTGGGATCGATGACCTGCTTCAACCAAGTCAGCGAGCCTGACCATCCGATCCCTATAGTCGCCTCTTACGACAAGCATGGGTTGCTGAAGACCTCATCTACCCCGGATCTTCACGGGTCGTCTGTCAATGTACCCCTTGGTGACTTATTAGATTGTCCTAAGAGCTGCCTTAGTTATTTCCATGTGGTCACAATGTGTGACACGACTGACATCATACAACCGTAACCCAGATAGCTGATCATGTTATCAGCCATTCACAAGTCATGAGATGAAGACACCAAAGGCTAGAGCCGCTGGATTATTGCTCAACATTACAAAAGAGGAACATTGACTATTGGAAAGTCATCTTTCTTGTCATACATTCTTGTAGGTATTTCTTTGTCTGAACTTTTATGCATAGATCTAACTGTAAAACAGAAGTGGCGGTTTCAATTGATTCTTTTATTTCTAAATCAGGCTGGTAAATCAAAGGGAAATTGTTATTTGACCATTATTAAACCATATCAAATCATATCTATTACCTGCAACTTAGGTTAAACTTCTTGGCCAAATGCACTTATTTTGTGTTTGCCAATCTGAGCAGAAAGTCCGATTCCTGCGAAACAGATCAGTAGGGAGGGGAGCAGAATTAGTGCCCACAGGGATGCCCATCTTTTGCCTAAATGTCATTATCACACAGCAGCCCCCTCAATGGCTCTAGAATGATTCATTACTCACTCTTTCAAGCTTGTGAGCTACTGGAACTTAAAGATCATGCCCTACTATACACTGGCGTAAGTCTAAGGTTAACGGTTAACAGTAACAAGTACGTAGGTTGGTGCAACTGGAACTAATGTCATGGAGACCTCCTGTGTGACCTTTAACAATACAGTCCATTTAAATTGCAAATATTTTGAAACACCATTGGCAAAACCTACCGTTTCCAAGGGCATAATCGGTATGAATATTGGAACTGCTTTCTTCTAAAAAATCCAGTTTTAAAATAAATAACACTGCAAACTAGATGCATGTTGAAGTAAGACAAGTTCTATGGATGAACAACTTCTTTATTACAATAGTGCGACGTTTCGGTGTAGATCCTAACACCTTTATCAAGCAAGTGATGGATAGTGCTAAACAACATAAGTATATATAGATTATTAACATCAGTGTTTATACAGTAAATTGATTGATGGACACAGAGAGCTGATTAAGATGATTGGAAGCCAGTGGATGACTAATGGGACAGGGTAAACAACCACGGAAGCTGATTGGGATGATTGGATGATTAGATGCATGTTGGTGATACAATTCAGAAGTTGCCATTTTGCGGAGTTTGCTGAACGAACTAAAGTGTCAAAGGAAAGTCCTGACAAAAGCTTAATATGGTGTTGGTATAGTGTAACATTACATCTTACCTCGCGGCATCTGTGGCCTGCATAGCAACTGCACACAGGCAGATTGCTGCAAGGAAGATTTGTGTTGCAGTCATCTCCCTCTGCTCGGATGAGAAACTAATTTGGTCCCAAGAATCAAATCTAGCTGACCGCTCTGTCCACCTCGGAGAACCTAACTGTCACCTACAGACATGTACAGGTATATATCAATGCTCTGTACTACACATTGTGTGTATCTCTGAGACTGGTTGCCCAGTTATGGCGTTAAGCGTTTTGGAATGGTGTTAACAAGAAGGGTAAATAGTGTTCATTTTGGTCTGTATGAAAGTTGGCATTGCTGTTCAGTGGTCTTTGCTCTTTGATTATGCGGACTGGTACCTCTTACAATTTTCGAGTTGACTTGAAATTGGATGCGTCTCTTGGTCTGTAAAGGAAACTCACTGTTTATGCAATGGCTTAATGGTTTAGTGTCTCCACGTTTAATACGCAGGGAGACAAAAGTTCTGCGTTTTAGATATGTAAGTAAAGTAGAAGTAGAAGTACACGTAAGCTTACGTCTTTGTGTGTACAATTCATAAGTATTTAGAATAGTTGGAAAGGGTCGGTTTGACGCAGTATAATATTATATTTAGTACTATGTTCTTTCGTGTCTGACGTAAAGTTTATCATTGCGGGACTGTTAACAAAAATAGAGCTTAAATATATCAATCCAACTTAATTTAAATAGTTTATGAATAATTATTCTTGTCTCATTATTTTTCAAACTCGTGTGTGCTCCTCCAACCTTGCAGTGATATCTCCAGTTTCATTACCGAAATATGTAAGATAATGTTAAAGTCAAACAGAATTGTGAATGTGCCATGACTGTCAGGTAGTCTGGATGTCAAAGCGTCTGTTCGTCATTCCGGAAAACTTGGTTCAATTGCCGACATGCGTACGATGTGTTGAGTCCAAGTTTAGTGTCTCCTGACGTGATACGTATACTGTTCATCACTTTGAACTTCCTCCCTACATTGGTCCCCAGAAACCTATGCTTGTGGTATGAGGCGAAACAATGGATCAGGTGGTGTGGATTATATCAATTATTCGTCTGGTCCAGACTCAATTATTTACAGACCGCCGTCATATAGCTGGAAAATGACTGCGTACGTCGCTTAACAAACAAAACAAACATGAGTTGGTATGCATACGTACATTTTACCATAATTCTATTTTCGTGATAACCTACCTAACCATACCTTGTCCCTTTGGCATTTCAGCGTAGCGTATTCGTGTGGGACATAACAACAAACCAGAATCATGTTACATGTATGTTCGTGCGTACTGCAAATAACAAACAAAGCAGAGTTGCCAAGTCTTGTATCTGAGTGACAATATGCGATCAAATGTCTAGTATCCATACAATGCTCTGGGTAATATTAAGTTCACCATACAACTCGAGGACAGTGACTGAAAGAATCTTCAATAGTTAAGACATACAGCACTGTTGCTTAGATTACAACAAGAATCGGAAACCATGCCAAATGTAACGTACATTTTGACAACAAACGTCATGGTACTTCAGATTTTACCCGTTAGGTTCCATATCTAACTTCAGGCATCACATACTCAATAAGACCTGCAAATATCAACACATAATCTTTATCGACAATTTAAGTATTAATTTTCACTTTGTATGAGTTCATTGGAGTATGAACATTAAAGTTGGAGCTAGCGAGTGAGTGAGTTGGGTTTAACGCCGCTTTTAACAGTATTCCAGTTATATCACGCGTGTCAGCCCGAAGTGATGCAGGTATCAGACGTTTACTACTTCGGTGAAACACACGAACACGGGTGTGGTACTGACAAACATAGAAACATAATCGGGGCGAACCGGGACTCGAACCCACAATCATAGGTTTCTGGCGTGCCCAAGGGACGCAACCCATCACAGCGAATCGCGGCACCTTACACGACTGGGCCACCAGGGTAAGCCCCTATGCCCCCCGAAGCTTGCGACATTTCACCTATAAAATGTGCGTTCGTTTCCAAATTCAATTTAGCGCGGTTAGATCTTCAGGTAACCAAATGCAAGCGCTATATCTAAAACACAGTACTAGTAAGTCAGTCACAGTTCATGAAGTTCATGAAGTCAAAATGGCCGACACGACCGGAATGACCGGACAGATTTACAGTTCTCAATGAACTTGTGGCGATCAGCTGTTAGTACAATACAATACAATACAATACAATACAATATAGTTTATTAAAGTCTCACCATTTGTACAGCAGGGGTTTAAAATAAAGCATTTTAAATATCTAAAAACTTAAAAGTACAAATGCCACCCAGGGGGGTTACGAGACACTATATCTTACACAAATATAAGTGCTTTATAAAATACTGTAAAATGAGATAAAGTTATACATAATATTATAATCATAGTCATAATTTAGGAATATTAATATTAGGAATGTAAATGATAAGGTAAACAGTTAAATATATTGTTAAATTATACATAAAATAATTTTCTACGCATAAACATTTTGAAGCACATGCTTCCTAATAGTGGTAAGTTACAATGATTATTTAAAATGGTGATATCTACAGGTGTAGGATAGAACATATTCTTAAGATAAGATGTACGAATATCGTCATAAAAGGGACAGTGTAAAAGAAAGTGGGTTTCGTCTTCAACTTGGTCTGTACAATATTTACAAAAGCGTTGTGTAGCCGGGATAGGAGGGGAGCAGTATCGGCCCGTTTCAATCTCCAGTTTTAGGGAACCACATCTCAGGGAAGCAAGTATCCATCGCTGGTATCTTGGGAGTCGAGTGTAACTCTCAGTGAACAACTCAGTCTTAAAATGCTTAAAAGTTCTTAACTTTGGTGTTGACTGGACGCTGTCTTTCCATCGCTGTTTGTCAATGGAGACAAGTTTGGATAAAATGCTATTTAAAACCCATGGAGATGACTTATCGAGGTATTTAGCAAATCTGTCAACTCCAGATCACTGTAGATACGTTGTAGCTTTTTCTCCCAGGACTTTCCTCTTGCTTTTAGTCATCAATGATCAGTTTGTTGTTCATGCAAGGTGATTATAAAGATGTGTTGAAGTAAACTCATTTTCAGCTGAAAAATGTATTTGAATGCCAATGTCAGGCGTAGCTTAGGTTTGTTTGCCAGTATTGGTCGTGGTGAGGATATTCTACCACGGGCATACAGTCAAGCATTCTTGTATTACTTCATTGTATGCTAAAAAAAACGAAATCAAGATTAAAGTAGCTGACCAAGTGTTCAATGGATCAAAAACACGTTCATGTATTTATTGATGCAAGGGAATTCCAAGGGATGTCCACAGGATTATGAAAATAGTCTGTTAGTGTTGACAGGTCCGTGAATATTAAAATGTTTCGTTCATACGCAGTCATGTGACCATCCTCTCGTCCAATGGAAAACCGTATATCGTGTATACTTCACAATGTCATTAAATAATTACAGTAATATAAATTCCTCCCACATTAAGATTATGTGCCGTGATATAAATGAAATATTGTTCAAAGCGAGTTGAACCCAACTCACCCACTCAATATTTCCACCAATACTACTATTCCTACTATACACCCGAATAAAATGTTAGAATTATCTTCATCAACCATGCGACTAACGGGATCGCGTGGTCAGTCTCCCTGACTTGGTTGATGCACGTCATCGTATCCCAATTGTGTAAATCGATAGCCATGATGTCCATGAGCGGATTGTCTGGTCCGGACGTACATGTATTTACATATAGGTGGGATATTGGTAGTGCATCGTTAAACAACAAACAAACATCTCCTACCTCTACTCCTACCACAAGCACTATTACTACCATATACGTCTACGACTACAGTCAACTACTTCAGCTATTTCTACTGTTCCTATGACTACTAATATAATTTACAAAAAATACAAATCCAATTGCTTCTACAAAAACGTCTTCAAGTAGAAGTAAATAGTCACTATCATACGACCCTAAGAGAAAGAACAAGCTCCGAGAGAATTAGTCCGTCCTGGCATCATATTACACGGTACACCGGTACTCGGTGACGCGACCCGATGTGAGGGCAGGGTAACCTGGTACAAGCTCACCCGTCCTGACGTTTACAATAACAAAGCTTAACGATCTTTGCCCAACGCGGTGATATCGAGAACACACAACGAAAACAGTCGAGTATGATGAACAAATAAACAAACTGTCAAAACAGACATTGAAGTATAAGATGTGTTCTTGACGAGCATTAGGTTACAGCATTACGAGTGTAATCCGTGTTTCTTGCAGACCAGATTAAGAATTATATTTGTACAGTATATGTGCTATGCACACACATGTCATATCAGCCTTCGTTTGAACATTTATCATTTAGACATATACAGGCTTTATATGTGTATGTTCTCAATTACAGCTTATTACAAACACAAGACATGTCCTATATTTCAACACAAATATGTAATACATCCACAATAGTGTATGCAACCGTTATTCTCTCTAGATATTATACACAATCTATAACAATTGGAGACTCCAATGTGATTTTTTTAGAACTGTATAAAAATATGTGTTTTGAATAAAGCTACAAAAGCCTTTTCCATATCCAATAGAAATCTCTGCATAAAGCAGAGTCGATTGTACAATTCCGACTATACCTTGAGCATGTGTTTCTGAATCACTATCAAATAGTAATGATACTAGGTGTTCGCGAAATGTTGAGCGTATCCTGCCCCACCGGTGGCATCCGTCACAAACACATGCAAAGGCAAGTCAATTGTTCACCGGAAAGAAATATGGGAACATTGTACAAGTCAAAATATGGAATTGCATCGGACATCATTTTTGTCACTGATGCGTCTAATTTGGAAATGTCCTCCATATATCTACCATAAAACTTTTTGAAAGCTTTACCGGGGCCTTGAATGTTGTAACCTTGATCAAACAACTTTTGAGTTCTGAATAACTTCTACAGTTACCACTTTGCAAAACGTTATTCAATATGCAATAGCAAAAAAACTCCAACACTTTTGGAATATATAATGGTTTGTCAGTTGACATTATACCTGGACAAAACTGTTATGGTAAGCACTGTTTACTTCATGTGTCTCATAAAGTAAATTTCATGTATACAATAACACACAATCTAAAAACTTGCAATCTTGATTATGTATGGTCTTGACCAACGTTGGTGGTTTAATAAAATATGAATAAATGAATATGCACAACAGGGCGTTAAGATGGAAATCAGGTACAGTTCACGCTGTTCGAACATGTGTATTTTTATCACAGGTAGGCTGTATTGAATATAAGAACATTAATTATGATAATGTAACTGTGTGATGGTGGTTTCTGGTGCTTCAAGATTCGGTAAGCGTAAACAGTGAAACATCAAGGCTGCGTTCAAGATTATTGCATTTATATAGCGATATGCATGCATGCACGTGTGTGTGTGTGTGTGTGTGTGTGTGTGTGTGTGTGTGTGTGTGTGTGTGTGTGTGTGTGTGTGTGTGTGTGTGTGTGTGCGTCTGGCTGCGTATATTAGTCAGGACAAATGCCGTTTTTTAGTGCTGACCCTCTAAGATAACATGCCGCAGTTTAACATGAATACCCCATATACCCAAAGCATACCCCGAGCCGACCAGTCCCAGTTTTATCCCTTCAATGCCGAGCGCCGTACAGGTAACAACAAGTGCCATCTTTTAACGTCTTTGTGTATGACGCGTCTGTGGATCGAACCGCCAACCTTCCGTTCTCCGGACACACACTCTATCCACTAGACCACGGATAGGTCTAAATATCTCAGTGATATGGTCTAGTGTCGACCTTCAGCTTGTCTCGAAGTACGGGTGCCTTGCTACGCATCTATGTGTAATGGTCCTATTGACTTCGAGTTGATTAAGTATCAGTGTACTGTGTACGGATGATTGAGTATGTGTGGGACTGCGTTTAACGCGGTACACATGCATAACACCAGATACCTGTTGGCCGTATGTTTGATGCCTCTGATGCGGGGGCACGCGATAGCGTGTCCATTTCAAAACTAGGAGATAAAGATGAAACTACGGATAAAACATGACACCGCATGCATTTGTATGGTTTCATATGATTAAACCACAAACATGAATACAAGTATCAAAGCAATTCATAAACATCGAAAATCAGACATCACCATCAAAAAAGTCCTCGAAAGTTCCACGATGGCGTGTGGCCACCTCATGAGTTACATGGAGGAAGGAGCTTGCGAATCACTATTACCAAAATTGCAGTAGGTATCAGGTGAACTGCAATCTAGCCTTTAACGCCGATTTGATCAATGTTTCCACACGAGCGAGCTTCATATTGGAGGAAAGCCGTAAATTGAAGTGATGGATAAGCCGTTCGCTCCTCGCGATGGCGATACGGGGTCGAGTCCTCACAGGCGTGAATGTGTGGATTTTATTCCCGGAATCACCTCGATGCCGTTGTACGAATACTCCTGAAAGCAGATAGAAAACCTACTCACTCACTCAAAGAACAGAGTAATAGCCGACACATTGTCCTAATTCTGATATTATTAAGACAATAATTGAATATATCTCGTAATGCTAAGATCTGCACATAATATGTGTCACCAACACAAATATTGTCATTGGAGGTTTGCTCAGGTAGTCCGATTTCTGTTCTAATAGTTTTAATAGATGTCCCATTTTAATTTAAACGAACACGTGGTATAACCGATAAATTTTACGTAAAAAAGTTGTATGTACATATTGAGTTGCATATACTCTACAAAAATGATACCGTCTCCGTGGCCCAGTGGTAGAGCATCCGCCCGGAGAACGGAAGGTCCGGGGTTCGATCCACGGCCGCGTCATACCAAAAGACGTCAAAAGAAGATGGTACTTGGTGTTACCCTGTCTGGCGTTCGGTACTAAGGGGCTTAAGGACTGGTGAGTGAGTGAGTGAGTATGGCTTTACGCCGCTTTTAGCAATATTCCAGCAATATCACGGCGGGGGACACCAGAAATGGGCTTCACACATTGTACCCATGTCGGGAATCGAACCCGGGTCTTCGGCGTGTCGAGCCAACGCTTTAACCACTAGGCTACCCGACCGCCCCCTTAAGGACTGTGTGTCTCGGAGTCAGTATACTGTGTCTGAGTGGGGTATTCATTTTTCACTGTGGCATGGTATCTCAGTGAGCTAGCACTATAAATCGGCATCTGTCCGGACTAGTACAAGCAACCACACACACGTGCATGCACGTCGCTATATAAGTGCAATATTCTTAGACGTGACGTTAAACCCAATTTCACCTCACCTCCATGCCGAGACCATGATTTCCAGATTGTGGGCACGATGTCGGCAACATGGCACCACAGATCCTACAAGATCAGGGGGAACCCGCATCACCACATCAACATGGGATCGCTCCTTCCGGATTCTTCACCTTCGAAACAGATTCTGCAATGTACACTGCCTAAAAAATTCCTCTAAGTATGCAAAATACTAACAGGAATACACGAGAATGACGTAATACATTGTGCGTCTCGCTGTCGTGATGCTCTTTGCATGCCTTAATCATAAACACAGCGGAACAACCCAATCAAATCGTGATGTTGCAAAAATTGCAGCTCTATCTGGCGTTCTTTATCGGCCATGTTGTCCTTTAGCTTTGGTGTTCTTTTGTGACAACTGACGTTCTTGAGATCACGTTGTTCTTTCTGTCAAATGGCGTCTATTTGTTTTGTATTTTATACCAATTAGTAACAATAAATACTATATTCGTAACATTTGATTAGTTACGTCCTTGTGACCTTTATTTCAAGTGATGTATTTTTGGACCAAATAGCCGCCCATACCAGGCGCCGATTGTCAGCATTCCATTGCTAGGCCAGAACCAGCACGAGAAATGAGAACTCAAATCATAAATGTAATGTCGTTATCGTCAAGGTAGCCGGATTGTAACTCAAATGAGCATCTTTGGGTTAAGCTAGAAGATTTTAACGTCAAAGTCAAACGCCACGAAATTGGCAGCAATTACGCCAAACTCTTTGGAAAGATGCAGTTACCATTCCACAAGTAAGGTGTCAGCCGCTGGTTTCTGGGTTCCACGAGGAGGTGGCGTGTAGTCCTTCAGCTGGCCAATGGTACAAGGTGCTAAGCTTCACCACTGCCGTGCTTGAGATAGTGACGTAAACGACACATGCACATCTCTTGAAAATCTTTTTTGGAGAGTACAGAAGCCTCAAAACTACATTTAGCATGCTTAAATGTTTATGTTTTCAGCTACAGTGTTGAAAACAATTGTCAAATATTTGAAAATATATATTGCATAAATTTACCTGAGGAACACACATAACCGTTTTGTGTCATTTCATGTACTGGTATTCTTTATGTATTTCAACACATCAAAACGTCTTTGAACCCCACTAATGGCAGCTAAAGTTTATTTTTATCCGCACAAAAAGCAGATTATATTGTGGCAATGGTGATCAAGTTTTACCCGAGAACAGTCATTATCATGAATGTTTATTTTGATGTCAGTCCCTTATAGCAGAAGGAGAGACATAAATGATAATGTTTACCTAACGACTTTTGCTCATATTTCATAGATAACAGTTACCCGCCTACCTGTAATAGTCTTAGTTCTTTTGGAGGGCTGTGACAGGGTATATAAGCCCGTTGCTGTTACCCCCGTTCAATCATCAGGCAGGATTAGGCAAAATGCAAGGGCTCACTCTGGTCGTCCTCGCGGTCGTTGCAGTGGTCGCTGTGCTCCCACTTGCATCATCGGAAACGTGAGTAGACCCACATTTCAATGGGGTTGAATGGTTGAATAAGTTTGACTTAACGGCGCATTTAACAGTATTTCAGTTAAATCACGACATTTCAGCTTGTGTGACGACATGTGTCAGAAGTGAAGCAGCTCTCAGACGTTTACCATTTTGGGCAAACATAAGAGGACGGGGATGGTACTGACAAACCAAAGATCATAATTAGGGAGAATGCTGGATTCGAACTCATAATCATTTTATTCTTACAATTTTGCGGTTTGACGCGCCTTAAACAACTGCGTTGCCCTTATCCTTGTGTATCATGATATTGTTCTCTCGTTTTGTCAGTAATATTATATACTGAAATAATCTTATTTTTGAGGAAACGTTTAAGAGGGTAGGTGCCAAAATTATAATCGATCACAAAAATGCCTTTATCGTTAATTCACAATAAAATACAGTTTTTACTAATACACATAACATAGTAATTGATATAGTTTTAATGGCGTACTTGTGGTCGGCATTTTTCGATAGTCAGTGTAAGAGCCTCCGTCTACCTCTGTACTTCATATCTCAATGCCAGGATCTAGCATTGAATCGTTCACCATCTCAAACACCTGGCTATCGAAATTATATACAAAATAAGTGAATGTGAAGAAAATGTGTACTCACATGGGTAATCGAACGTTTTTTTTGCGTGGCTAGCTACAGGTTATCTTATATTAACCAATGATATATCGAGATTATATGCCGGTATATATGGCCAAAACATTACATATTAAATTGATACAATCGTTCTTATAGACAAACCCTATGCATGAATTCTTGGCGGAGGCGATGCGAATAAGGGAAGAAAGAGGAATCCGATGTATATTAATAAGGGGGCGGGCATGAATAAAAGTTACTGTCGGGTGGTCTGTGAACAAGATAAATAGTAATTTCACGGTGAAGAGATTCATTTAATTGCACCATTTTTAGAAATTATATTGTTCTTACGTCAGTGATATCCAAGTCATACATGTATAATGAGTGAGTACTTCAATAACGTCCTTCACACATTATTGCCCTTTTAAAAATCAAACCGTGGTTGTAACATCACTTGAGTTAACGTATTTACAATCATTGTCAACCAACTTGACAAAAGCCTCTTTCTTGATAGCGAACTTAACATTGATCATTAGGAAGGGTCGGAAAATTCCATATATTCTTGATATTCATGTTATATATTATCTCATAGATGCATGTGCATCTATTATACAGGAAGCAATACGTACCAACCCGGGAATTCAGATTTTTCACTAAAAGAGAATAACTTTATGATTTTACAATGCCTAAAAATATTAAACATTTGTCAATGTATCACGTGTCGTTGTCCTTATCATACCCGTAGTTCGTAACCCTTTAAGATTCGGCATCGAATAGGTCTTCAGCAAACCATGCTTGTCGTAAAATTCCGTAGATCGCTGCTCATGAGAATAATTATAATCACTCGAATGTCTGGTCCAGATTCAACTATTTACAGACCGCCGTCATCTAGCTGGACTATTGCTGCGTACGGCGTTAAACATCAAACATACCAACATGAGTTGGTATGCATACGTACTCGTCACCATAATTCTATTTACGTGATAACCCACCTAACCACACCTTGTCACTTTGATATTTCAGCGTAGCGTATTCGTGTGGGACATATTCCACCCGCTACACAACCAGCTGTGGTTGGTTTGGATGGAAACGGTGTACGAGATACAGGTATGTGGAACGTCGAATATCGGCATTGCTGCCGTCGCAAACACTTTCTACTTGCATGCTAACAGATATATATATATATATCTACCCCGCCTCTGTGAAATCCTACACACACAAATAGAGGTTATCTGTGTTGTGTATCGAAGCTCCCTATTCCATATTGATTTTGGAAGACCCAGTTTCACACAGTTTCATCGTAGCTCTAGATTACTGTGGGGGTTATATCAAGGAAACGAGAAACGACAGTCGTGTCGCTAACATCGCTTTGGAAATTTCGGGAATGGATATTGCTGTCAAGGTTGTAGCTTCTTTAGCTATATCGTTAAGGTTTAGTAGTTAAATTTCTGTGAGGTATCGCGAGTATTCGGTTTTAATGCAAGAACAATAATTCGATTCATTTTGAATATGTTTATACATTCATAAATTCAGAACAAACCTATAGCTTTTTTTTCATAATTGTGTCACATTTCTGTTTTCATGTTGAAGTGTTGGGGTGGCTGGTATGATAGATAGAGGTGGCTTCCCTAACTAATTATTCACTGTTCAGTGGAACCCTTTCACCTCATAATCATACCCACAGATGAGACAGCGGCATAGCTGTACATTCAGTCACTCCTGGGCAATAATATCCGGGTGGATGTTCTTATAGTTGTACTGGTCAGAGGTTTAACATTAATCCTTGCACTTACGGTGACAGGTGACTCTGCTTGTCGTAAAAGGCGACTAACGGGATCGGGTGGTCAGGCTCGCTGACTTGGTTGATGCATGTCATCGATCCCAATTGCGTTGATCGATGCTCATGATATTAATCACTGGATTGTCTGGTCCAGACTCGATTATTTACAGACCGCCGTCATATAGCTGGAATATTGCTGAGTGCGGCGTTAAACAACAAACAAACTTACGGTGACACTGGTCACGTACGTGATATTAACTTGTCATCCGGGTAATTGTATCCTGGTCAATAGAACCAAATCATCAAAGTTCGTTGGAGGTATTAAAGATCGCAGGAGAGACACCCCATCCAAAAGTTTCCCTGGTCAGTTATGCCCTTATTCAAAGGATGAAACTGTGATAGAGCATATCCAAATTGGAATGGGACAATTATTGGAATTAAGGCAATTAGAATATCACTGTGGCCAACTACTAGACCAGGTGCGACCCGTGAAGATCGGGGGTAGCATAGGTCTTCAGCAACCCATGCTTGCTGTAAAAGGCGAATATGCCAGTAGTAAGAGGCGACTAACGGGATCGGGTGGTCAGGCTCGCTGACTTGGTTGATGCATGTTATCGATCGCAATTGCGTGAATCGATGCTCATGATATTAATTACTGGATTGTCTGGCCGAGACTCGATTATTTACAGACCGCCTTCATATAGCTGGAATATTGCTGTGTGCGGCGTTAAACAACAAACCAACCAACGAACCAATTGCAACTAGACCAGGTGCACGGGGTTGTGGACAAGGGACCGACCGTGAGAACTATTTAATAGACCAGGCAATACACCTGTAAACTCATTTCAGTGCTGTTTTAGTTCAGACTTGGCTATCAGACGTATTGACTAAATATAGCGGTGGACCTACAGACAAACTTGTGTTGTCCTTGCTGAGCATCTAGTTGAGCATAATCGTCTTAGAGTGTGATGCTGGTAAGGCGGCTTTGGGGGTGATCATGATACGATGATTTACTCATATAAGTTTAATTACCCCAGTTGTGGTTGCATATGTTAAGTTCTCTGTTGGCACATTACAGTTTCAGACATCAATTCCGTATATTTATCGGTTTCAGGTCATCTACGAGAACCTGTTATAAGAACCGTCCAGGTGAGACTTCTTTGGTATCCATCAGCATCAAGCCTCAGTTATAACACAAACAATTAAGTGAGTGAGTGAGTGCGTGCGTAAGTGCGTAAGTGAGTGCTGCTATCGTAATCTTTGAGAATGGGCTCTCAAAACGGCCCATGTTGTCGAATCAAACCCTGTTATCGGTTTGACGGTTGCTGTAAACACAAAATTTACCAACGCCTCTGCACTTCACCACCAAAGTAAAACATACTTAGGTTAAATATATCAGATGCTAACTACATGTATATGCACATATGGTTATAAATTGGACGATAAATATGTAATTACATTTGATATGTTTTATGTGCTTAATGAGTGAGTGTTGTGTAACACCAGTCAGTAATATTCAAGCTATATCACATAAGAGAGCCTGAACCAGGCACACAATGACTGAACGCATGAGCAGCGATCCACACGCAGCCAAGTCACGGGACTTTATTGCCCGATCCTCTGATCAAAACAGCCTGAGGAAGCAGAGTCCTAGGCCTTTTTGACCCGGGTCCGGTTCCGCAAAGCGATCGTAGCGCAATGACAGTAGTAACTCTATGTTAAAGTATGTCATTCAGGATCAACTTGGATCGATTTGTGGAACGGACCCCTGGACTGTGATGTTGGGAGACATACTATGATGAAGATAGATATAAATGGTTTTAACGGCTAAATATGGTACTTTCTGAAAATAGATGCCAGTGTCTCAATAAAATGTGACTCTATTGACATGGACAAGTGACATTTATTTAACGATTAGACGAAAGTAAGGCGGGGTGTTTTGAGGCGCGTTCACGAGTTCAATAAGGACTATATAGCATTGTTCTGTCAACCACCTTCACGCCTTCTTGCACGCGTCACCGACCAAGAGTATTTGTCAACATCAAGAGACGTTTGAACTTCGCAGAAAACAATTAAACCTCTCAAGATATTTTTACTTCAAATTTTTTAGATGCGTTTAATATTGCAAGATATGTTTAGATTTCGCGAAATACTTACTATAGTATGGTACAATGATGCAATTAGTTTTATACATTCACTGTCACTGTTTTGTGTATGCAGTAAACGGCGGATGGACGGGCTATGGCGCATGGTCAGCATACAGCACGTGCACTAAATCATGTGGCGGAGGAACCATGACGAGATCTCGCACGCGCTCGTGCACCAGCCCGAGACCAGCTTACGGTGGTGCCCAGTGCTCCGGCTCCAGCCGAGCTACCCAGACTACCAGCTGTAACACACATAGCTGTCCAAGTATGTCATAAACCCAGAAATATCTACTCCATCGTAACTAGCAAAAGTGAGAGAGTATGGTTTTACGCCGCTTTTAGCATTATTCCAGCAATATCAAGGCGGGGGGCACCAGAAATTGGCTTCACACATTGTACTCATGTCGGGAATCGAACCCGGGCCTTCGGCGTGACGAGCGAACGCTTTAACCACTAGGCTACCCGATCGCCCCTTAACTAGCGAAAGGGAGAAGTTCCCTCCAATAATATGTCTCTGCCATTTAAGTTTGACTCATTTCATACATGACCCGTGAAGATTCCGAGGTAGAAGAGGTCTTCAGCAACCCATACTTGCCGTTAAAAGCGACTGAGCTTGTCGTAAAAGGCAACAAACGGGATCGGGTGGTCAGGCTCGCCGACTTGGTTGATACATGTCATCGATCCCAATTGCGTGGGTCGATGCTCATGCTGTCAATCACTGGATTGTCTGGTCCAGACTCGATTATTTACAGACCGCCGTCATATAGCTGGAACATTGCTGAGTGGGGCGTTAAACAACCAACCAACCAACCATTTCATACATACATGAATTCGGGTATGAATAACCTTTCTTTTGGATTATTTATATTTCCCTAAACAAAGAGACAGATAACGATAGATACTTATATACTGCAGAAATCTGATTCTATACACATTGACGCACCGGTTTGTCATACCGAAGATACCGTGTACGAAAGAAAGTACACACTCATGACTGATGGTGGCTTACAATGAAACAAACAAGAAATGGTTGTTCAATGAAGATGTATTTTATATGGGTATCATCGTTGTGTTTTGGACCTTACGTTTGCAGTCTTACGGCGACTGTTTCCAGCCTATTGGCGGTTAAGTAATGCTTTAGTTTTTTGGTCAAATTAAATTTTCAAGTGAATGCTTTTTTTGTCCGGTTTATGTCCCACACGTGTGAAGCTCAATTTACATCTCACTCGTCATGATAAGGCTGACTAAATCAGTGAAAACGAAACTCAGTCACCAACTGTGTGTGTGAAGGTTTGGTGCAAGTTAGGTTAACGTCTTTTGTTCAGTAACATGGCGTGTTAGCTTAATGTGGGAGGAAACACGAAGATTTTTACCACTTAGTGAAACATACAAGCGTGTGGTGCTGGCAGCCAATGATGATTGTCTCTGTGTAGTCCACGGAGCCTGGAGCAGCTATGCCACCTGGACCCCCTACACCGCTTGTACAAAGACATGTGGCGGAGGAACTCAGACCAAGGCTCGATCCCGAACCTGTACCAGCCCTCGTCCCCAATTTGGAGGCAGACAGTGTGTTGGATCGTCCTCTGAAACGTCAAGCAGGAGCTGCAATACACACAATTGTCCTGGTATGTCTCTATCACAGGAGGGCGGTCACGGGTGTCCAAGTCGTCTAAGGTGCCACTATCCCCCGTGGAGGGCCGTCTGCTTATTGTAGGCATACAAAAGGACCTGTATTTGCCCTGACCATGGTCACTGGTTTTTCAACACTCTACATGTCCCTTTGCTTTTTGCTTTCGCCAAAGTGATTAACGTCTGAGACCCGCACCACTTCGGCGTTTCCATTCACATGAAGCAGACACGTTTTGGTATAACTAAAATACAGTTGAAAACATAACCCGCGTATTCGATCAGTATATTTAGATATCATTCACACATATATCCAGGTATCCCCAAACAGATACAACGCGTAAAGCCAATTTGCGGTGTCCCCTGTCATGACGTTGGAAAACAGACACTAGAGCTCAGTTATGAATTATAATGTATCTAGGGGTGAAAGTGAATACCGAAAGTCTAATGCTGACGTAATTGGCTGTAGTGCCATGCCACAGATGACATCCTAACCACGTTAGCTTGCTGACGGGGTTGACCTCGTTGGTCGTGTGGACAAGCCGGCCGATCAGAAGGTCCATCGTCCGTGTCAGAGCATGGGGCATTGATGTGAAAACCCTGTTACTCAGCAAATGTCCTTCCGTATGTTTACTGTCGGGGGGACGATCTCCACATTCGCGACTCTTTAACCTGGATATGTATAATTGTGGACGAATGTGGAGTACTGATTAACGGCGTTGATTTTAAATATCTGGTTTTGTAGGTGGAGATTAATTGAGACTCTGTAACGGAGACATTTAGAGTCAATAAATAGGCATAACCCGTCTTCAAAAGACTGACCCGTGAAGATTCCGGGGTAGAATAGGTCTTCAGCAACCCATGCTTGCCGGAAAAGGTGACTATGCTTGTCGTAAGAGGCGACTAACGGGATCGGGTGGTCAGGCTCGCGGACTTGGTTGATGCATGTCATCGATCCCAATTGCGTGGATCGATGCTCATGATATTAATCGCTGGATTGTCTGGACCAGACTCGATTATTTACAGACCGCCTTCATATAGCTGGAATATTGCTGAGTGCGGCGTTAAAAAACAAATCAAATCATAAGACTATTATTGAAAATCCTTTTACAAATTTATTGTTGATAGTTGACGGCGGTTGGAGCATCTACAGTATGTGGTCACCCTACAGCGCGTGCTCAGTGAGTTGTGGAGGAGGCAGCCAATCGCGATCCAGAACAAGGTCATGCACTAACCCCACCCCAGCTTATGGCGGAAGTCAGTGCGCAGGGGAGGCAACTGATACCTATAGCAGGGACTGCAACACCCACCCATGTCCAAGTACGTACCAATTGATTGGTAGTAAGGGTATGCCAGAATAAGAACTATCAATATTTTCAAGGCGAAACATTGCCAGAAAAAGCAGCAGCATTTCTTTACAAATTGACGTATATTGACAGAAGGGACAACTCAGATTGCATTTAATATATATCTTGAATTGCAAAAGCTGAATTTACTGTTGAACCGTTAGAAAATGTAATTGTTGCTAAAATATATGATGATATACGATTTGTATACTACCTCATGTGACCATCAAATAGGTGGAACCTATTCTAACCTGGATTCCTCACGGGGCTGGTGAAAAAAGAACAGACAACGCTCAACATGAGAAAAGGACGTGCCCACCTCATTTGATTGTAAATATACCCCTATTGTGTTGATAATATCATGACATTTATCAGTGTTAATTATTTGTTACAGTTGATGGTGGATGGAGTGACTACAGCGCGTGGACAGACTACAGCACGTGCACTGCTACATGTGGAGGAGGATCCCAGTTCAAGACCAGAGACAGGACGTGCACCGACCCCGCCCCTGCCCACGGAGGCCAGGAGTGTGTCGGAGATGTCAGGGACAGATCTGAGAGGGACTGTAACACTCATCCCTGTCCAAGTGAGTCATCTCTTTAAAATGGATATTGGTAATGGTCATATAAAGATTAAAGTATTCGAATTTACTCACTAAGGAGAGTACTGCACAATATGAAAGCTCTTTAATATGTGAATTTCGCCGTTTGTTTAGAATGAGAAAAATATTCTAAAATATCTGAGAATGTGTCCCCAAATCAGCCTTCATACCTCAAGATGAGGTGCTTTGACCTGTGTTGCCAAGACATTGGTTAACTGATAGGACTAGATATATTTTTACAGCTTTATATCCAGATCTCTTTTAAATAGAAACTATGAGCCTAATTTTTCTTCCTCTAAAAGCACCTTGAAACAAATTAGTATTTGTGGCAGACAATTTCAAGAATCAGAAGCATAATTATTTTTTTGAAGACTTTTCTTGGACAATATTTATTTTCGAAAAAAAATCACTGCCACCATCCCAGAATTTTGGTCCCGAATCACTTGTCTAGGCATTGGTTAACTAATACTTTTTACCTCGAATACGATCGCTTGAAACTTCACAAGGATGAATTCGGCCATGTGTGCGTGTATACAGATATCAAAACAATAATGATATCATAAGATTACTCTGCACAGTCTAAAGCTTGCTCATAAACCTGTGATGTTCCAAAGTTGGTGTGGAATGAATTCACAACAACTCCAGGACCCCATGAAGGGTGGGTACCTCCTCCCGCATTTGGAAGGGTAAAATCTTCCATAACTGATGTATGCATCATGACATGCCTCAACGCGACCTTGTGATTGTTTAGGATGTGTTACAGTTGATGGTGAAAACGACCAGCACATGAAGCTGGGAACCTCTTCTAACCAGGAATCATCATGGGACTGATTAAACTGCGTACAGCATGTGTTACACCTCATTTGGTTGTAAATACATCTATATGTTATTCATAATATCTTGACATGTATCAGTGTAAATGATTTTGTAACAGTTGATGGTGGATGGAGTGACTACAGTGAGTGGACAGAATACAGCACGTGCACTACCTCATGTGGAGGAGGATCCCAGTTCAAGACCAGAGACAGGACGTGCACCAACCCCGCCCCAGCCCACGGAGGCCAGGAGTGTGACGGAGATGTCAGGGACAGATCTGAGAGGGAATGTAACACTCATCCCTGTCCAAGTCAGTAACAGAAATAGCTCTATTAATTTATGATATAAATCATTGATGGTACAATATTTGTGTGGTAAAAGTGTATGCATGTGTGTAATGCTGATATTAATTTTTTTTTAAATATATTCAACTTGATATTAAAATAATTACTTATTGTCTGTTTCAAATCTGGATCATCCCGTATCACTAAAGTAAAGCATTTAAAGTATAAAAAGAAATGAAAAAACAGTTGATTACGCAGGGAAAAACGTATGAATATCTAAACATGATCACACGCTTGCTCAGTTGACGGTGGCTGGACCGACTGGGAAGAGTGGCAGGACCTGGATGAGTGCAGTGTCCTGTGTGGAGGAGGCAACAAGGATCAGGACCGCTCCAGGACCTGTACCAACCCCACCCCGGCCTTCGGGGGAGCCGACTGTGACGGAGAGGGCTTCCAGAACAGGACCATCAACTGCAACACCGAGGAGTGTGGAGGTAGTTTCACAAATAAGAGAACAAATTGTTTTCTATAACTATCGTGTATGCTCAAAGCTTTGATGACGTTAACATCACAGCTTGTGCTGTTTGGTAACATAATTGCTTGATTTCTTGCAGATCTTTGTCCAGAAGATGAGGCCACCTACCACGCCCACGCCACCAATGAGAGGCGCTTCTTCCAGTGCAGCAATGGCGTTGCCCATCGCCATCAGTGTGCAGAGGGTACCGTGTTTGACTCCGCCATCTCCGCCTGCAAACATGCTGCCACCACTGCAGCTCCCACGACGGCGGAGTCCTGTCCCAGCACCGGTGTCGTCATGATCGCCAACGAGAGTGATTGTACCAAGTTCTACATGTGTTCCAATGGTATCAAGTACCCGATGGCCTGTCCAGCCACCACCCGGTTCGATGTCAGCTTGAAGGTCTGCACCCATGGAACATGTTAGGACAAAGACCTGTTACATCAAGCAACTGAAATACCAGTAAATGTTTCACTAACTATAACTTGTGCTCTATTTACCTTGATGTAAAGCACTGCTGTTTCGAAAGGGTTTTTAATAAATCATTTGTTGCATATTGTCAATATTGATATTGTTGTCATAACTCTGTATGATGCCTGAACGAAACATTTTCACAAGAATTGTTTGATAGGCATATCTTAGAAGTTGACAAGTTCCGGTAAGGATATTTTCCGAAACGTCGCCTTTACAGTAAATAAAGAAGTTGTTATCCATCAGTTATCTTTACTTTGATAGATAGATAATTTAAACTTGAACACAATAATAACTCGTTAAATAACCTTATCGTGGAATTTGTGAGTGAGTTAGTATTGTTTAACGCCGCTCTGAGCAGTATTTCAGTTATGTCACGGCGTTTCGGTCTGACGTGGGGGAAAAGCCTGCAGTGATGTAGGTCCAAAAAGAAACATAATCAGGATGAGTGAGTGAGTGAGTGAGTTGGGTTTAACGCCGCTTTTAACAATATTCCAGTTATATTGCGGCGTGTCAGCTTAATGTGGGAGGAAAGCCCGAAGTGATGCAAGTCTCAGACGTTTACCACTTCGGGGAAACCCACGAGCACGGGTATGGTGCTGACAAACCTAGAAACATAATCTGGGCGAACCGGGATTCGAACCCCCAATCATAGGTTTCTGGCGTGCCCAAAGGACGCAACTCTGCACAGCGAATCGCGGCGCCTTAGACGACTGGGCCACCCGTGCCCCCTAATCAGGATGAACCGGGAATTCGAACACAAGATCGTAGGGTTCTGGAACGCCTAGGAGACGCCATTCGTCACAGCGATTTCACCGATTTGAGCGAGTAAGCGAGTTTGGTTTATAATGATAATAATAATAGTCCCATTGTATGCCGCTTTTTTCCATGCTGGATGTCATATTCAAAGCGCATTATTACCCCTGTTATTCTCATCTCCAAGGGGAGTATATAACCCAAGCTGCCTGTGATGTGTTAGAATGTTCTAGCCACATTGCCATACAATCCTACCGGGTACCCATTCACTGCTTGCTTAACAGTGGCATACCTCGAACAAGTCACTTGCCAAAAGAAATTCCACATGTGATTCATGTGCTGCAGGACCCGTGAAGATTCTGGGGTAGAGTAGGTCTTCAGCAACCAATTCTTGCCGTAAAAGGTGACTTTGCTTGTCGTAAAAGGCGACTAACGGGATCGGGTGGTCAGGCTCGCGGACTTGGTTGATGCATGTCATCGATCCCAATTGCGTGGATAGATGCTCATGCTATCATTCACTGGATTGTCTGGTCCAGACTCGATTATTTACAGACCGCCGTCATATAGCTGGAATATTGCTGAGTGCGGCGTTAAACAACAAACCAACCAACCAACCAACCAATATGTGCTGCAGGGTGGAGCAGGAACGAAACTCTCAGGTTCCAAGCAGCCGAACTCGGTCACTCATCCAGTTATTCACAGCACTCAGCTTGATGTGGGAGGAAATCCCTAAGTGATGTACGTGTGTGGTACTGGTATTCGATCCCACGATCAAAGTTTTCTGTCACATGTTGGAGATGCATCTCTGCACAGCGAATTGCGCTCTCTAAAAACGACAGGGTCAGTCCTGTGTCCTCATTGATTTGAAAAGATGTCGGAGACCGGAATTAACTTAAACAGAAATGCAAAGTGTTTATTTCTTGCTGTGAAAACACGTTTGGTTTATGAAAAACGACACAGACAATAACGATATATGAATTAATTTTTTAAAGCAACGATGAAAGATATGTTTTAATATTGAGAAAAGCAACCCACATTGCCACATTGCTGCTTTGGTTTTTAGCTTACAAAGATCACTGCAGTTTGAAACGGAGTATAACCATTTCAGCGCATGCGTAGATTAATTCACTTAATCCAAAAGGGCGACAATGCAACATTATCAAGAAGTCGCGTTGTCGCGCATTAATTATAACGCCTTTTTACATATTTTTGATGGGGCGTCAATGCGACAACGCGACATATTTTGACCTAAAAAATGTCACATTGTCACATTGTCGCTCTTTAATAAAATCAAAACGAAAATGCAACAACGCAACAATGCGTATTTCAGTCATATCATGGCTTGGCAGCTTGATGTGGGCTGGAAGCCAAAAGTGATGCAGGTCTCAGATGTTTACGGCTTTGCTGAATTCCACGAGCCTGGGTATGGTGCAAACAAACATATAATAATAACAAGGGCGACTTTGGGATTTGAACCCACGCAAGTTCATATTTCTGGCACGACTAAGGGAATGCAACTCTGCACGGCAATTTGCGGAACCTTAAACGATAGGGCCACCTGTGTCTACTCTTCGCATGACATGCAACATAGAACAGACTGACACCAAATACAGACCCCAATGTTAATGGCCCATACCCGCCACTGGGAGTTTCTTAGGGAGATCATTTTTCACTGTATGCCTCTATATTTTATCTGGCGCCAGATACTTCCACTTGTGAGATCATTTCCCCCTGTAAACCTCTATATTTTATCTCACCAGTGGAAGTATCTGGCGCCAGATAAAATATAGAGGCATACAGTGAAAAATGATCTCACCAGTGGCGGGTATGGGCCACCGTACTTACTCATACCCTTGTGGAGTTTACAACCGAAGCTGCCTGCCGCGAGAAGGTTCTGACTCCAGAACTTTCCATCTCTCTCTACTGGACAGCCATTCGCTGCTTGGGTGAACATAGGTGAACAGTCCAACGGTGACACGGCGTGTTTTATAGCCTATAACTTTCATTGTGTTTCAGTATGGCTAGACAAAGACTTTCGAATATAGAGAGTCAAATATGCCGAGGTCTTAATGAATCTATTCCCAATGACACGGGCATTCATATGCAATGAGGATGGATGAATACATAACTGGCGGGCAATCTTTTGCATACATCCATGTTTGGTGGTGGCTAATAATGAAAGAAACAAGATATGTGTATTCAATGGCGATGTATTTGATACGGGTTTCAAATTACGACCTAACGTTTGCAGTGTTTTGGCGACTGTTTTCACCCAATAACCTTTTGATAATATTAGTAATATTGTTTGGTTTAATCCAATTCTTATTTGATTATGTTACACATTAGTTGGACTTTACATTTATTAAACAGAAAGATACAGTACATGTATTTTTATATGGACAGGTTAACCTTAGTTGACACTTGCCTTTACACATAATACCAGCTATGAGACATTGACTGGCTGCATTGTTACATTTGACCTTACATTATACGCACGATGTATACACGCCACTTATGGCATAATATGTTTCCTTGTTTGTCTGTTGTTTAACGCCGGCAATATTCCAGCTATAAGACGGCGGTCTGAATCCAGACAATCCAGGGATCTAGATCTTGAGCATCGATCCACGCAATTGGGTTGGTTTGTTGGTTTGTTATTTAACGCCGCACTCAGCAATATTCCAGCTATATGACGGCGGTCTGTAAATAATCGGGTCTGGACCAGACATTCCAGTGATTGACATCATGACCATCGATCCACGCAATTGGGATCGATGACATGCATCAACCAAGTCAGCGAGCCTGACCACCCGATCCCGTTAGTCGTCTTTTACGACAAGCATAGTCACCTTTTACGGCAAGCATGGGTTGCTGAAGACCTATTCTACCCCGGATCTTCACGGGTCTCCACGGAATTGGGATACGATGACACGCACAATCCAAGTCAGCGAGCCTTTTGGTATTAATCTTGTATAGATGTCGGCAGAATATACACTGTGTATATTGGATCCCGAAGTACATTGTATAAAAGTGCACAAGGGTATACAGAAAGCACTGCCGAGTCTTGTGTAAGTAGACTTGTGAACACTGTAAGTGAGTGAGTATTATGTAAGTTATATGAAGGCGTATCTGTTTTAAGTCCAAAGTGATTCAGATGGCAGACATTTACTACTTTAGTGAAAGCACGAATCTTGGATTCGAACCCACGTTCATCGGATCCTTACATGACTAAGAGGAGCAAATATCTTAGATGGTTTGGCCAGCCCTGATTTCGTCATCACTGATCGATTGAACCAAGATTGATGACGAATTAAATATGTGGAAAGTGCTCAAAATACACATGTTCATGCAGAGGAAATTGGTAGCCTCCGTTATTTATAACTTGCAGTGTAGACGCACTGACGCTCCGGATCTGGCCCCGAAATGACGTTGTTCACTTGTCTTGATAGAGTTATTGTTCGAAGGACATCGATGTCAACAAGGTACTCAGCTCATAGTTTTTGTTGAACAAATACTTTTTATTTGACTTTAATGATGCACTGAAATCCACATAAATTGTCCATGACAAATTGCCCTGCGTCATCGCGGCCGTTAACGACCTCTTCAAGTTGTTCTCATGTTTTTCATTGGATAAAGAAAAAAATGAACGTGGGCGTCTCAGATATGAATGTGCCTATATACTGAGTAAACTAAAAAAATGCATCCACTGTTATGAACTCCGATGGATATTTTTATGTATTTACTGTTAACATTACTGTTGAACAAGCTTTTAGCCCGCTGCCTCGTACGACAAGTATGGTCTACTGAAGACCGGTTCGAACCCGGATCACGTGGGCAATCCTTCATTACGCAAGGGTTCAATATCTAGTCCATTTAAGTGAGTGAGTGAGTGAGTTCGATTTTACGCCGCTTTTAGCAATATTCCAGCAATATCACGGCGGGGGACACCAGAAATGGGCTTCACACATTGTACCCATGTCGGGAATCGAACCCGGGTTTTCAGCGTGACGAGCGAACGCTTTAACCACAAGGCTACCCGACCGCCCTAGTCCATTTAAGCTGGAGTAGATGCCATTAGAATTCACCAGGCCAAATGCAAATACTCCTTGTCGCCGTGCTTCCTGCTGGTGCATTGTTTGCGGTGCAATTACATGCTGCCCCAGGAGCAATTTCATTATTTGTTGGTAATTATATTCTAAATCAGATATTGTTCATCTTCATAGGCACATCACTGGTACCAGAAACCCCTGTAATAAAAACGGCACAGGAACTACCCCATGGCTTCTTAGCTGTTCAAATTTGATTGACTGGGGTAATGTATGTCTTTAAATTCGGTATTAAAAAACAAAACCCTTTCCACAATCATATGTTAATTCTGCCACAAACAATGTCGATTGTAAGATACCGACTATATAACGAACATGTGTCAATCAGTTCACTATCAAATAGTGATGATGAAAAAATATTGGCGAAAAGATGAGCATATACTGTCCCGCCGGTGCAAAGGCAAGGCAATTTTGACACCTGGATAAAAACAGGGGAACATATGGTGCAAGTTAAAATAGGGAATAGCATCGGACATCATTTTCTGTCACTGATGTGTCAAATTTGGAAATGTCCTCCACATTTCTACCATAAAACTTTTTGAGAGCTTTACTGAAGCTTTGAATGTTGTGACCTTGATCAAACAACTTTTGATCAAGAGTCGTATGACTCGCTTTGAAATGTGAGAACGAGTATGCCCGATTGTACCTCAAAAGTTCTGAAATGTGGACACCAATGGCTGTAGCAGCAGGAATATTGCTCGACATGAAGGGAAAAATGAGTATTGGAAAGTTGAAGTCATCCCTTTTGTCATACAGTTTTGTGGAGAGTAATTTGTCACTCCGAATCTTTATGCATCTAAATATGAAAAAGATGAGTCAGTCTCACTGGTCTCCTTTATTTCTAGTTCAGGTGGGTAAATACGTGAAAGGGATTTGGTTAGTTAATGGTTATTGAACGATAAATGATCTTCGATGGACCTGAAGCTAAAATTAAACGTCTTGGACAAATTCCCTTGATTTGACAAACCGAGCACAAATTTATATGCACAGAGAAACAGATCAGCAAGACGGGAAGCACAGTTGGTGCCCACGGAGATGCCTACGTCTTGCCTAAATGTCGTTCCCTTTTACGTCAATGTCTTAAGTCCAGCGTGGGCACGGGTGGCCCAGTCGTCTAAGGCGCCGCGATTCGCTGTGCAGAGTTGCGTCCCTTGGGCACGCCAGAAACCTATGATTGGGGGTTCGAATCCCGGTTCGCCCGAATTATGTTTCTAGGTTTATCAGCACCATACCCGTGCTCGTGGGTTTCACCGAAGTGGTAAACGTCTTAAACCTGCATCACTCCTTTCCTCCAACATTAAGCTGACACGCCGTGATATAACTGGAATATTGTTAAAAGCGGCGTTAAACCCAACTCACTCACTCACTTAAGTCCAGCATTTCACATAATTCTTTTCTCAGCAAACTTCAGACCGCATTTGCTTTCTATTGCAATGCATGATATATTGTAAGAGTTGCTTTTTAGTATAATATAAAGCATATCTTACAAAAACCAGTGCCACTGCATCTGCGTTTACTGCCTGTACAACCCTGAAGATCATTAACAATCTAAATAAAGACACATTAAACTGTCACATCTCCTTCACTACTTTATAGGGGCGGCCGGGTTAGCCTAGTGGTTAAAGCGTTCGCTCGTCACGCCGAAGACTCAGGTTCAACACCCGACATGGGTACAATGTGAGAAGCCCATTTCTGATATTGCTGGAATATTGCTAAAAGCGGAGTAAAGCATCACTCACTACTTTATATATAACCTTAAAAAGAACAGATATGGTGCTCAGTGTGTTGTTGTTGAATCCTTCACGGTAAGGTCACCATGGCACGATGCCATTTTATAGCTCTATTTATTTTAGACCACGCATTTTTCGCTTCCAACTATGTTTGTACTATTGAGACGGCATTGCGACAATTAAATATAAGCTGTTTACTTTTAATAAACCCATAAACATTAAGTGTGTAATAAATTTTACCAGAGACATAGTTTTTTTTAAAATTCTCGGGTAGATATGCATTCCTGATTATTAATAAACCAGCTAACTAGAAAACCAGCTAACAGGTATATGTTACTGTAATAATTTTGTTTTTAAGAAGAATATTAAATATTTTGGATGTTTACCCTCGAGGGGATTCTGGGGACAGAGAAGGTCCACGGGACCACATGTGTGTCGTAATAGCGGACTAAATGGGATCGTCAAACATTGCTCGTTGAATCCGTCACTGGTTCGCCGAATGTGGTAAATTTTCTTCTGTCCTCTTCGGTCTCAACATGTTCCACTGTCTGTACACTATCGCGAACTAAATAAAAAGATATCCGTCTGTTACCACTGATCAAAATTGTACTTATGAAATATTATCGACTCTAATGAATTGGTAATGTCTCACGATATGAGAAGTGAATTATTTTAATTTTTGATATCGATATATATATTCATGGCATCTCAAAATTGCTGCATTTTAATCAAGAATTATATAAACAAAACCACGCCCTTCCCACACATACACCCAAGCTAAAGTGAGTTCATACCGAATTCCATCTATCTTTTACAAAATGAAAACACGCCCATCCAAGCCCAAGTCCAAAGGGATGCAGACGGCAGACGTTTTCCGATTCAGTGAAAGCTACGTGGAGGGGGACCCGTGAAGATCCGGGGTAGAATAGGTCTTCAGCAACCCATGCTAGCCGTAAAAGGCGACTATGCTTGTCGTAAAAGGCGACTAACGGGATCGGGTGGTCAGGCTCGCCGACTTGGTTGATGCATGTCATCGATCCCAATTGCGTGGGACCCGTGAACATCCGGGGTAGAATAGGTCTTCAGCAACCCGTGCTTGCCGTAAAAGGTGACTATGCTTGTCGTGAAAGGCGACTAACGGGACCGGGTGGTCAGGCTCGCTGACTTGGTTGATGCATGTCATCGATCCCAATTGCGTGTGTCGATGCGCATGATATTAATTACTGGATTGTCTGGTCCAGACTCGATTATTTACAGACCGCCGTCATATAGCTGGAATATTGCTGAGTGCGGCGTAAAACAACAAACCAAACCAAAAATACGTGGAGGTGTATGGTGCAGATAAAATATGAACATGGAGTGACATAATCAGCACGAATCTTGGATTTGAACCCACGTTCATCACATGCTTACTTTGTGATAGGGGCGCAAATATTCGCCCTCTTGGATTGTTGGGCCCCCCTGTCCTCTAAAACACTGTTGAAACAAGATGGATGACGAGTTAAATATGCGGTAAGTGTTTAGAATGCACATATTGCTGCAGAGGAAATTCTGAAAGGTTAAAGTGCAACCGTTGACGCCCTGATCCGACCTCCGACCTCGAAATGGGGTTGTTCATTTGTCTTGGTCGAGTTGTTGTTCAGACATCGATACTCAGCTAATAGTTTGTGTTAGAAAAAAATACCTATGCACTGAAATCCACATAAACCGTCAATTTCAAATTATTCTGCGTCCGACCTCTTCAGGGGTTAAGTGGTCTTCATGTTTCTCATTGGATAGATATAATGGACGAGGGCGTGTCCTACAGCGTTGATTGATCGACTTTGTCACGTGTGCCCAGCTAAATACAAACTAGAAACCTGAATTATGCATCCACCAAAATGATTTAAACATATTTTCCTTTTTCACAACTCTGCTGAAAAGGATATTTGAAAAACATATGGCATGACTGTTAACCTTGTCGTTTCATATAAACATGTTGTCTGTCTCCGTTGTACAGGTATGCAATGAAAATGGTTTTTTTGCCTGATCGATGAACCAGGATGTTACCACCTACCAACCCTCATTTTCTTTAAGGGTGCAATCGCAAGGCTATTTAAGCCAGAGTACATGCTTTGGGTGTTTATCATAACGCCAGACCAGAACGATGCAAAGACTCGTCGTCGTCGTGCTCGCTGTTGTTGCAGTGTTTGCGGTGCTTTCACGTGCTGCTCCAGGATCGTGAGTTTTAGAAAAAATAACTTCATTATCGTTGCAAATATTACGTTTATGTCAGATATTATGATAACGAATTACAATTTTTTTTGTGCTCTATGACATCACACAGTGACTTAAAATAATAGGTTTAAAAGAAAGCGAAAGTCAGTGTTTATTATATTACTTTTAGGATTCTAATTCTAGCATATTTAGCCTATTGTGATGTTTTTAAGCCCCTTTGAACTTATTAATAACTTTTAGTCAGTCTGACGGGAAAATTATTGTAAAATGACCGATATATTTTGAAATGTTGTAAATTGCCGAAGTGAAAGTTTCAGTCACATTGAATGATTTATAATTGTTTATTCACAAAAAAGTGTTAGGCCGTAGGCCTTTTACACAGAACTATTTACAGAGAGAGGAAGAAAAAAGAATTACCACTATTTTACATATATATCCATATCCATACACAGGCATACACATACACATGCATATATACAAATAAATATTTAGACTGTATACAATGAACGAAGTCGAAAAGCTTTGTAAACATGGACTGCTAGATTTCGTATGATTTTAAAGTAAGTGGATGACATAAGAGCATTAAATTTATTTTTCGAAGGGGGTTGTAAAATATTTAGGAGGAATGTATTCAGCTCTTAAATCACTATAAGCATTGCATATAAGCATAAAATGATATTCGTCCTCAATAAAATTGAATGATTTAATACATTAACTGTGACATAAGTACTCACCGCCCAAAGAAACGCGAACCATAAAAAACATATGGAGAAGTAAGTTAAGAAGAGATGTTTCCAAGGTGTACCAAATAATGACACAACTAACAATCAATCGAGTGTTTACACAGTGTCTTCATTCTTATCACCATACGCTCGATTCATGGATCTGTGACGTCACATGTGATGCATTCATGAGCGTCAGTTCACACAACATATATAATCTTATATCTCTTGAATATGAGTCCCGACATGGGTACAATGTGTGAAGCCCATTTCTGGTGTCCCTTGCCGTGATATTGCTGGAATATTGCTAAAAGCGGCGTAAAACCATACTCACTCACTCAATTGAATATGAGTAATTCTTCATATATCATCGCGTTTCTTTTGTCGGTGAGTGTATATATATACACACACACGCACGCACACACACACACACACACACACACACATATATATATAAATATATATAGTATTCATATATATGATAATGACTCTCGTTTACTGTATATAATGTGCAATAGAGGTAAACTGTCAATGTCGTTTATGAATTCACACATATCGATATAACTGTTACATGAGAATGAAATAAAGATGACAAAACCCTTTCCACAATCATAAGACCTATCTGCGAAAGTGTTCATTGTATGATTCCGACTATTTAATAAACGTGTGTTTATGAATCACTATCAAATAGTGATGATACCAGGTGTTCTTGAAAAGGTGAGCCATCACTTTGTGATAGTTATTCATAAACATGTACTTGTGATATAGTCTCAATCGTACAACGGACTTTTTGTGCATTTAGCAGATATTTTCTATGGTTATGGAAAGGGTGTTGTCGAGTTTATTTGTCAACGTCTAAAACTAGGGATGTGTTTTAAGTTATGAGAACATAATCATAACTTTCGGCTCGTGATCAAGAATCAGAGGTGACGTGGAGTGAAATGTGGTTCAACGTCGCGTTCAAATTGTTTGCAGTTACATAGCGACGTGCATGCAGGTGTGTTTGCTGCTAGCTCGAACGAATGCCGATTTTATCGTGCTAGCCAACAGAAATACCTTGCCACAGTCTCACATGGATACCCATCTCCGACACATCAGACGGACTCCGAGCCGACAAGTCCTTGTTTTATCCCTTTAATGGCGGAAGACAAGCACCATCTTTTAAGGTATTTTGGTGTCACGCGACCAGGGGATCGCCAGCAAACGGACAGACACTATATCCACTACATCATGGGGCCGTTGGAATGTAGGATTCGAACCCACAAGCAGCGAAAGCAGGCAACCGAAGTAAACAAGTCTCCCCTGGTCAGGTGCAGTCTTTTAAAAGACCGGGCTGCTCTGGCCCCTTTCTCAAGGGAGTAAACTCTAGATCTTCATACTCTGTTGTCGTTGTTTGGCACGGTGTTCTTGTAGGTTGAGTTTGACGTTGACTTTAATCCGACGTTCATCAGTATTGAGTTCATCATATGGCCTGTCAGCTCCCTGTGGCAGGAAACTGCACAATGATTTGTTGGTTGGTTTGTTGTTTAACGCCGCACTCAGCAATATTCCAGCTATATGACGGCGGTCTGTAAATAATCGAGTCTGGACCAGACAATCCAGTAATTAATATCATGAGCATCGATCCACGCAATTGGGATTGATGACATGCATTAACCAAGTCCGCGAGCCTGACCACCCGATCCCGTTAGTCGCCTTTTAAGACAAGCATAGTCACCTTCTACGGCAAGCATGGGTTGCTAAGGACCTATTCTACCCCGGATAGTCACGGGTCACTGCACAATGATATTCACTTAATATGTGGAGCACTTTTGATGAAACCCACGACCACGACACGGTACTAACAAACGAAAAGTCATAAAGGGAACGGATCTGAGTTTCTACAGCTGGGGAACAGGACTCATCACTAATGAATAATTCCAACTGTTGTTACAGAGCGAGAGAGTCCTACCGCTGCTCAAGGTCTTCTCGATACACAACAAAATGTGGGTGGTTAAGTTGGGGACGCTGTACAAGATACAGGTAATACACTTCATAGTATTCAAGGGCGAAGTATCCTTTACAATATACATGTTCATCGAAACAAACTGACAGTTTATGTATTGGCAGCGAAAGTGAATACATATTTCTTTCCTTTGTCAAGATGACCTGGTTTGCCAACAGGAGATATGCTATTCCGCATGCTGGAACTGTTCCTTGACATTTAAACCTGCAGGAAGTTTATATTAGTTCTTATCGGCTAGATAGTTAGCAATCATGTGCATTTCTCTGGACCATCTATCATTCTATAATGCATGATCTATTCTAAAAGCTGTCGTTCAGTATATGAAGCATAATTTACTTAAAACCATTACTATAGTTATTGCTTGTGCTATTTCGCCCCATACCTACATCGTCAGTCCACACAACATGTAGGCGTTCTGTTTGAGACAGAATATGTTCCTTTGTCTATCACCTCCAGTGAACAGTTGATCTAGTTTTTGACACATTATTTCTTTCGAGCATTTATATAAATACTTTTAAAACAAATCCCATCAAACCCTCTCGCCCATTAGATCCCATTTCCCGTCCCCAAAAAGATCAAATGGTCGGCACACTATTTTCCAAGGGGACACCCACAACGGCCAGTCAGTGACAAGTATGATATCAATCCACACGATGACATCATTCGGTTTCACGTCTTATTTAGTTGGGGCGGTCGGGTAGCCTAGTGGTTAAAGCGTTCGCTCGTCACGCCGAAGACCCGGGTTCGATTCCCGACATGGGTACAATGTGTGAAGCCCATTTCTGGTGACCCCCGCCGTGATATTGCTGGAATATTGCTAAAAGCGGCCTTAAAACCATACTCACTCACTCACTTTTATTTAGTGTGAGGTGAAATGGGGTTTAACGTCGCGTCCAAGATTATTGCACTTATATAGCGACGTTCTTATTTAGTAATACAACCCTTTTCAGATGTTTACATCATAAGCCATCAGATTAAAGACCCATTAAAATGTTACAGATCCTTCACTAGTTTACAACTTTGAAAAAAACTTATATAATTATATGCTTTTGTGGTCGAATGCGCAGTTTTGTGATACCATAAATATAAATAATAGACCTTACAGTGAGCTGTTATGATCACTTGTGGAAAACATCCTCATGGTACGATGCCACTTTATAGCTGTATGTATTTTAACTTATTTTATGTTACGCCTATTTTGCTGTAAACTGCGTTGGTCATACAGAGACTGCATTGCGACAAATAAATATAGGCTGTTTGCTTGTCATAGACCCATATTAGGTAAGTAACCCAGGAATGTGTATGTAGTCCGTCAGTGTTTACGTCATTTCAAGACTACGGTCTCTTGAAAAACATATGAACGTCAAATTGTGTCATTCATACACTTCTGAACGTCAATTTCGTGGTCATGTGACCGAACTCTCGTCCAATGGAAAAGCAGAACATCCTGTAAATATATATATATATATATATATATATATATATATATATATATATATATATATATATCTTAGTTGGTAAAGATATACATGCATAACACATCTGGAATATATAAACCACTCGATTTTCTTATAGGGATAATAAATAAAGATGCATTTCTTTGGCAATAACTTCCAAATTGTTCATGAACTTCCACGATCTACATCAAATGGGGCATTTTAAACAGTTACACAGGGTTAATACGTAGACACAAATGTTGATTAATAAGATTTGGACGGGATTTGGATGTGGATTAGACACATAACCATGAGTTGGGGCTCTATTCACTATCATAATGTAAATATTGAGTAGCAGTGGGATGATTGACAAGGAAGCACAGCCATAGAACACATTAAATTTCACACAAACCTTAATTACAGCATCCAAATCCATCTGATATGGGTAACAAGACACACTTTGACAGAAGGATGTTTGGCGTATCATGGACAAATATGATGCATTGTTTGATAGGCATTACTTAGAAGTTGACAGATGACAAAGTACATGTAGACACAATTTATGGATAACAATTCTTTAATGCTGTAAAGGCAACCTTACTTGACAACAGTGTAAGTAGCTATCCCGAAACGTCGCCTTTACAGTATTAAAGAAGTTGTTATCCATAAATTGAGTCTACTTTGACAAATATGATTATATATATGACATTTATGCATCACAGTGTATCCACAGAGATACTGAAAGGTGCAACCTTTCTTGAGTGAAACCTAGAACATTGTATGCTTGTGCATAGACATGTATGTCATCAATGAACGCCACCAATGTGCCAATTAATAAATCACACTTAACGTTCCTTGCTTCAGACAGACATGGTCGACATGCTACAAGACAGGTGAGTGTGGAAGGAAGACTCATGGTGATTACAGAATCTCCCAAGATTATTCGAAGGTTATTTGATCTAACCCGGACCCGGGGCTTCTGAATGAACACAGTACACCTATATGTAGGATAACGTTTTGAAGATTGACAAGAACATGAAAATTCGACGGTTGTTGTCGTCGTGGTCAAAATTCAAAATTAGTATCCAGCGTGAAAGCCCAAGCTATTCGTCAGAGGTTTGTGCAGCAATATTAGAATGTTGGTACAAGGTGCTATGCTTTCTCATAGTGCAGTTTGAACGTATTCTTTGAACTAATTACTGCCATGATGTGGAAACATTTTTTAAGATGTTATTTAAAGGGCAACAGAAATTTGGTCACGCCAACAGATTGTGCAAAACATGTTGTATGAATACGTCATAGATATTTCTTTTTCTAGTGTGGAACGGTGGATGGACGAGTTACGGACCATGGATTTCGGAGAGCAACTGCACGCACACATGTGGAGGAGGAACAATGAGGAGATATCGCACACGTTTGTGCACCAACCCGAGTCCTGCTAACGGCGGTGCCCAGTGCTCTGGCTCCAGCAGAGATACCCAGACGATCAGCTGTAATACACACGGTTGTATAGGTGGGAAGTGATATGTATACACGAGACTACAAGAACCGTTTGTTTACTAATGGCCATACGTGTATATGTGAAGTTCAGATATGAAAAGTACAAACATTACGCCATATGGCTGCTGCACACAGTCAATGCGTTATTCATTGTTCATTATTTCAAAAATTATCTCAGTAAATTTACTTCAAATAGTTTATTGACAAATAAGAGTCAGATAGATTGACAAGTGGTAATATATAGAACAAATAGAAAATAGCAACAGAAAGTGAGTTTTCTGTAAGTAAATAGTAGTAGTAGCTCTTTTAATTTAGTATATTAATCATTCATTGATGATACACTAGCACTCTAAAATATTCAAGCGCGTTATTACCAATGACGCCAAATTCCCTATATCATTCTACACGACTGTCGGTGTGCAGAAATACGTATTTTTATGCATACGTGAGTGAGTGAGTTGGGTTTAACGCCGCTTTTAACATTATTCCAGTTATATTACGGCGTGTCAGCTTAATGTGGGAGGAAAGCCCGAAGTGATGCAGGTCTCAGACGTTCACCACTCCGGTGAAACCCACGAACACGGGTATGGTGCTGACAAACCTAGAAACATAATTGGGGCGAACCGATTATGCATAAGTATTAATATATCACGTTTGTATCCATCAATCTTGAAATTTGGAATACTTTTACATATCACAATCTTAGTTAACGGTAACTGGACGGACTGGGAAGAGTGGCAGGACCTGGATGAGTGCAGTGTCCTGTGTGGAGGAGGCAACAAGGACCAGGACCGCACCAGGAACTGTACCAACCCCACCCCGGCCTTCGGGGGAGCCGACTGTGAAGGAGAGAGCTTCCAGAACAGGACCATCAACTGCAACACAGTGGCGTGTGGAGGTATGTGTAATGTACATGTATTATCATATCAAGAACAGCTTAAGAACAGATAAAATACATCAATAATTCATTTATTTATAATTTATTTTATTTCTTTTTTTCTGTCATCAAATTTAATTAATTTATCTTATTTCTAAATGCTTCTGGTTCATGTTACAGCGGTGAACGATAACAAGTGTGCCATTCGAATGTTTAATTTGTATTTTGTCTGAGAAATATCAGGTCAACTAAGGACAAAGAAATGCAAAACGTTCCAATTTAAAATTGGATCGGTAATTTTCATTAGCAGACTAACTTATCCTCTGCGGCATTGGTGGCCCAGTCAACTAAGCAGCCTCAGTTAGCTGTGCCAGAATCATATGGTCGAGGGTTCGAATCCAAGTTCCCTCTGATAATGTTTCTTTCTTTGCCAGCATCATACCCGAGCTCATGGGTTTCCTAAAATGACGACCATCTAAAACCGGCATCACTTCAGTCTTCCTCTCTTATTAAACTGACACGTATACATGTAAAAGAAATTTTGATCAAAGAGCTGTTAAACCAAAGTAATTAATGTACTCACTACTTCACTTACTATCCTTAATACTTAACATTTGGATAGTGGTTTACTATTGTTCCCGCAGATCGTTGTCCAGAAGGTGAGAACACTTTCCTTGCCCACGACACCAATAAGAGACGCTTCTACCAGTGCAGCAATGGCGTGGCCTATCGCCATCAGTGTGCAGAAGGTACCGTGTATGACTCCACTATCTCTGCCTGCAAACATGCTGCCACCACTGCAGCTCCCCAGACGGCGGAGTCCTGTCCCAGCACTGGTGTCGTCATGATCGCCCACGAGAGTGACTGTACCAAGTTCTACATGTGCTTCAACAACATCAAGTACCCCATGGCCTGTCCGGCCACCACTCGGTACGATGTCAAACTGAAGGTCTGCATCCACAACACTGGCGGATGTTAGATACAGAAATGAAAAAATCATGTATACAGCATCTTCAGAATATATTAATAATAAGCATATTTCTCCGACTCACGTGGTATATATGGGCGTCATAATAAGGTTGGTTGATTTGTTTGTTGTTTAACACCGCACTAAGCAATATTCCAGCTATATGACGGCGGTCTGTAAATAATCGAGTCTGGACCAGACAATCCAGTGATTAATATCATGCGCATCAATCCACGCAATTGGGATCGATGACATGCATCAACCAAGTCAGCGAGCCTGACCACCCGATCTCGTTAGTCGCCTTCTACGACAAGCGTAGTCACCTTTTACGGCAAGCATAGGTTGCTGAAGACCCATTCTACCCCCGAATCTTCACGGGTCGCGTCATAATAAGACGTCAAAAAAGAGGCATACAAAACAAAATACAACAAAACCTTTTCAGTACAACATGCTTATAGTCCCTGTCATAAGTTTGAGTGAAGTTGTACGGTGTAAAAAAACAAGGCGGAAGGAGATTGCCATATTTGTTTAAATGCTGTTGTCGTTGATTCCGTAAATTCGGAACGACAACCCACTCAAAACACTGAACTCTACCCATGCCGATTCACTCAATCTATTTGCTGACACCAAAGAGCTCGCGGGTGTGTATTTTTTAGTCAAGGTAGAATGCAGATGAACATGTGTTTTCAATGTGCGGTTAAATCTACACGTAATCTAGCTCTATATTGAAAACAGTTTATCTCCTAAGTATATCGATCTCTCCTAACACTAACAGAGCACAGAATTTATCTCGCTCATGAGTGATAATTCATTAGACGGTTGGTTGGTTTGTTTGTTGTTTTACGCCGCTCTCAGCGTATTCCAGCGTATTCCAGCTATATGACGGCGGTCTGTAAATAATCGAGACCCGTGAAGATTCCAGGGTAGAATATGTCTTCAGCAACCCATGATTGCCGTATAAGGTGATTATGCTTGTCGTAACGGGAACGGGTGGTCAGGCTCGCTGACATGGTTGATGCATGTCATCGATCCCAATTGCGTGGATCGATGCTCAAGGTATTAATCACTGGATTGTCTGGTCTTCAGCAACCCATGTTTGCCGTAAAAGGCGACTAACGGGATCGGGGGGTCAGGCTCGGTGACTTGGTTGATGCATGTGATCGGTCTTAATTGCGTGGATCGATGCTCATGATATTAAGTCACTGGATTGTCTGGTCCAGACTCGATTTATTTACAGAGAGCCGTCACATAGCTGGAATATTGCTGAGTGCGGCGTTTAACAACAAACCAACCACCGACCAACCAACCATATAGCTGGAATATTTCTGAGTGCGGCGTTAAACAACAAACCAATTGTTGATGCATATGATGTTAGTCACTGGATTGTCTGGTCCAAACTCGATTGTTCACAGACCGCCGTCATATAGCTGGAATATTGCGGAGTGTGGCGTAAAACAACCAGCCAACCAACCAAACAAACCAATCTTCGACCAGGGTCCACTGCCAACAACAGATCTGGATATTACATCTGCTGGACAGACCAACAGAAGGCCAATGCTTTTTTAATACACAATGCACAATCTCCACAGATATTTGACGGTATTTTTGCATTTTCAAAGTAAATGCTCTCAGACAAAACTTTAGTAAGTTTCATTATCAGCATATTTGTATTGTCATGTGGCCTGCACATGCAAGTGTCCCTGTCCTTCTGTGAAGGCATGACAACCCAGAAAGTCTTAATCCTTCTGAAAGTAGCAAGACAGATTTGACACTCTGTATTTTCTGAGGTAAATTTGCAGTGAAGAATTTTGACAGAATCTAGTAAAAAACGCTTCTTCTTTTTTAGTTTCCGTAATGTTATCTTTTTTGACAACTGTTGTCGTCTCGTGAGAAGAACGCAAAATTCTATCCTCAGTAGATGAAATGGAATTACTCTTTGCCTTCCTTTCATGACGGAAATTTGTTTCTTTTCATTTAAACTACTTATTCTCCTAATTATGTTTCCGGACCATAACTCGGAAACCGTTTAATATTTTTTCGCGAAACTTATACACATTAACCCAGCACTGAAGTAGTGCCTTTTGCTATTTAGAGATTTTTGACATTTTTATTTTTTCTCGTTTCCATGGAGATAACTTGAACATAGACTCTGAATGGGGGTAAGCTTGGTTTCCGGACCATAACTCAGAAACCGTTTAATATTTTTTCGCGAAACTTTGTATACACATTAACCCAGCACTGAAGTGGTGCCTTTTGCTATTTAGAGATTTTTGACATTTTTATTTTTTCTCGTTTCCATGGAGATAACTTGAACATAGACTCTGAATGGCGGTAAGCTTGGTTTCCGGACCATAACTCAGAAACCGTTTAATATTTTTTCGCGAAACTTTGTATACACATTAACCCAGCACTGAAGTGGTGCCTTTTGCTATTTAGAGATTTTTGACATTTTTATTTTTTCTCGTTTCCATGGAGATAACTTTTTGTTTCCTGACCATAACTCAGAAACCGTTTAATATTTTTTCGCGAAACTTTGTATACACATTAACCCAGCACTGAAGTGGTGCCTTTTGCTATTTAGAGATTTTTGACATTTTTATTTTTTCTCGTTTCCATGGAGATAACTTGAACATAGACTCTGAATGGGGGTAAGCTTGGTTTCCAGACCATACCTCGGAAACCGTTTAATATTTTTTCGCGAAACTTTGTATACCCATTAACCCAGCACTGAAGTGGTGCCTTTTGCTATTTAGAGATTTTTGACATTTTTATTTTTTCTCGTTTCCATGGAGATAAGTTGAACATAGGCTCTGAATGGGGGTAAGCTTTGTTTCCGGACCATAACACAGAAACCGTTTAATATTTTTCGCGAAACTTTGTATACACATTAACCCAGCACTGAAGTGGTGCCTTTTGCTATTTAGAGATTTTTGACATTTTTATTTTTTCTCGTTTCCATGGAGATAAGTTGAACATAGGCTCTGAATGGGGGTAAGCTTTGTTTCCTGACCATAACACAGAAACCGTTTAATTTTCTTTCGCAAAACTTTGTATACCCATTAACCCAGCACTGAAGTGGTGCCTTTTGCTATTTAGAGATTTTTGACATTTTTATTTTTTCTCGTTTCCATGGAGATAACTTGAACATAGACGCTGAAGTGGTGCCCATTAGTTGTTTGAAATTTCTAGTTCTATTTTTGTCTCTGTTATTTAGTAATGGAGGGTGGGAATGAAGAGATTGGGTTTAACGTGAAGTAAACGAATGAATGGGGGTTAGGGGAGTCGGGGGAGACATATGTTTTTACGAGTAAAAACACTTTCTAGTTCCTTTCTTATTTCAGTGGATAACCTGTCAAGATGTTACTTGACAGAACCTTAGAAAGGGCTTGCTCCTCCTGCAATGTGGATTTGGAGCATTTGTTTTTAACAGTTCAACAATTGCACTGTCGAAGATATGTTTGATCTTCCCACTGTTTCATTTTCACTTTATTCTGAAGTCTCCCTAACTTTTTCTAGTACATAAGTGTGAGACTTCTCTGCCTCTGAAGCTCAGTGTCTCAATGCTGTCAGCATTCCATAAGCTCTTGCCCTGTGACGCTTAAGACGCTTCCTTCCGCTGATAATTTGATGTCTTGGAACTGGATTGACAGGAGAAATAGGAGGTGAAATATATTTTCCGAATATTCATTTACTTATTTCTGAGTTGTTTTTCCCTGTCGTTAATGATATGCTGCTCTCCATTTCTTTCTTTGTGTTCCTCTTTCTTTTTTTGGTTTTCCTTTGTTTTACTCTCCATTTTCTCCTCTCGAAACCCGTTAAGAATAGGTCTTCCGCAACCCATGCTTGCCGCAAGAGGCGACTAACGGGATCGGGTGGTCAGGCTCGCTGACTTGGTTGATGCATGTCATCGATCACATTTGCATGGATCGATGCTCATGTTGTCAATCACTGGATTCTCTGGTTGAGACTCGATTATTTACAGACCGCTGTCATAAATATTTGGTTGGTTTGTTGTTTAACGCCGCACTCAGCAATATTCCAGCTATATGACGGCGGTCTTTAAATAATCGAGTCTGGACCAGACAATACAGTGATTAATATCGTGAGCATCGATCCACGCAATTGGGATCAATGACATGTATCAACCAAGTCAGCGAGCCTGACCACCCGATCCTGTTAGTCGCCTTTTACGGCAAGAATGGGTTGCTGAAGACATATTCTACCCCGGAATCTTCACTGTCCGATTATTTACAGACCGCCGTCATATAGCTGGAATATTGCTGAGAGCGGCGTAAAACAACAAACAAACAAACCAACCGTCTAATGAATTATCACTCGTGAGCGAGATAAATTCTGTGCTCAGTTAGTGTTAGGAGAGATCGATATACTTAAGAGATAAACTGTGTTTTCAATATAGAGCTAGGTTAAGTGTAGATTTAACCGCACATTGAAAACACATGTTCATCTGCATTCTACCTTGAGTGCGGCGTTAAACAACAAACAAATAAACAAAACATGACACTCATTATGTGAATGAAGATCCGGGGTAGAATAGATCTTCAGCAACCCATGCTTGCCGTAAAAGGCGACTAACGGGATCGGGTGGTCAGGCTTGGTTGATGCATGCCATCGTACCCTAATTGCGTGGATCGATACTCATGATATCAATCACTGGATTGTCTGGTCCAAACACGATTATTTACAGACCGCCGTCATATAGCTGGAATAATGCTGATTGCGGCGTTAAACAACCAACCAACCAACCAACCAACCAGCCAAACCTTATGTGAATCACTGGATTCTCTGGTCCAGAGTCGATTATTTTATAGACCGCCGTCGTATAGTTTGAATATTGCTGAGTGCGCTGCTTAACATCAAACAAACCAACAACAACAAAACCGAACTGTTGTCTGTCGTGGTGTTGAGGGAGATGGATTTAGCTGCAAGTACCTTCGATTTTCTTTGCATGTTACAGGTATCCGTCCGTTCATCAGACGTCTGACAATATCTTTTAGTGCTATGGTTTGTGCACGTATGTCGTCTCGTGTTTTTCATGATCGATTTGTAGAAT